AGTAGAAGAAAAGTAGTTTGAACTCAACCTTTACATAAGACATTGCTTTGTTTTTTGGAGTATAATTCGCACCAGCCAAGAAATGCATAATGAAGAAAAAAATATAAGTCGTACTGGACTATAAGTTGCTCTTTTTGGGGGAAATTTATTTTACAAAATCAGAGACCAGGAACCGACATTCCACATGGAAAGTCAAGTTCAAGTAAAAACAATAGAACAGAACAACAGACTGTTCACATCACATATGAACAGTTCTTCAGATAAACTATAACATAAACAACAGAACAAGTTTAACAAACTCTCCATCTCACTCCAAATCACTAAATCCATTCAATTCTTCATCCTCGGTGTCACTTCTGAGCAACTCCACGACCTCCGGAGGTAAACAGAGCGCCGCTTCTTCTTCTGTGTCGCTGTCGTCAGACTCGGCATCAGTTCCAGTTAGAATTATTCGGGTCTTTCTGAATCCCGACAGGATGGTTTCGGTGTCACAGAAGTCCAGGCTTTGTCCATCCATCCAGTGACTTCAGGAAAGTTTCATGGTGCATCCTCCCGGTGTCACAAGTTTCTCTTTCACTCCAAACTTTCTTTCTGCTGCTTGATTATCGTTTTCAGCTGCAGATTTCACGACTTGCAGTTTGTAATCTGCAAAATCAGATTTTCTTTTTAGGGGCATTTGTGTTCAGTCTTCTCAGTCGTCTTTATAAATTTGTTTAACTGTGGTACAGAAGTAATGGTGCGATCGACTGACATGATACAGACAGGACAGAGGCTCTTTCTGCAGGAGACATGTGCAGTAGAGCCAAGTGACAGTGGTACAGGAGGAACAGGAGCAGCAGATACTGACACACAAGACTAGAACCTCTCACCGCTTCAGTGTGAACATTTAAATATATAATTCGCAGGAAACACCCAAACCATGAAAAAAAAAGTGCGACTTATAGTCCAAAAAATACGGTAGTTAAAATGTGTTGCTTTATATTAGCGTTAAGCCCACAGACTTAATTATATATTGTTTAACGTTTGAATTTATTTATTTTTGTAGGAGACACGTGGTGGTCCCAGGCTCAAAGAAGTCTTCAAAACGAGAAAAAGATTCTACCCCAAAACGGAGGAACGACGACGAGGAACCACCAGCCAAAAAAGCCAGAGACGAGAGGGCAGAGAAGAAGGGGGAGAGGAAAGAGGAGAGGAAAGAGGAGGAGGCCAAGGAGGGAGGAGATGAGGATACACCTATGGAGGATTTATCTGAGGAAACAAAAGAGGAGACATCTAAGGAAGTAGTGGAGGAGGAGAGTAAAGAGGAGACATCTAAGGAGGGAGGAGACGAGGAGATAGCTAAGGAAGGAGGAGATGAGGAGAGCGATGAGGAGACATCTAAGGTGGATGGAACCGCGGAAATGAAAGGGGAGGAGAGCGACAAGGAACAGCCCGAGGAGAGAGAGGAGGAGAGGAAAGAGGAGAGTTTGATAGAAGAGGAGGAGAGGAGTGAGGGAAAGGAGGAGGAGGACAGACTTCTGGAGAAGACTGAAGACAAGAGACTGGACCAGGACTCGGACCAGGATCAGGTGAGAAGATCCACTGGGACATGAGTGAACCTGGAAATGAGGCTTTAAAGGGCAAATATTACACTATTTTCTGATTTGTTATAATGTTGTTTCTTCATCACAAACAGACCTGGAGTTGTGTTTTGTTTCGTTCACACATGTTTAACACACAAAACCTGCAGATTTAGGCTGAGTTCTTCTCTCAGATTGAAAACCCTGTGTTCCACCTTGTGATGTGGTATTACAGGAAAGCGCTCCACTGTGTTTTTAAACTTTACGCACCTTTACTAGATTCATTTGGACAATTTCAAAACCTGGAATTGCCCAAGTCTACCGAGCTAAATGTAAAAAGTAGTTGTTAACTTGAATACTACACTACCGTTCAAAAGTTTGGGGTCACTTAGAAATTTCCTTATTTTTGAAAGAAATGAAGATAACTTTAAACTAATCAGAAATACTAGTTCTAATTCTAGTTGCAAATGTCTGTTTTTGATGCAGTATCTACACAGGTGTATAGAGGCCCATTTCAAACAACTGTCACTCCAGTGTTTTAATGGTACAATGTGTTTGCTCATGGCGTCAGAAGGCTAAAGGATGATTAGAAAACCCTTGTGCATCATGTTAGAACAGCTGAAAACAGTTTATCTGGTTAGAGAAGCTATAAAACTGACCTTCCTTTGAGCAGGTTGAGTATCTGGAGCATCACATTTGTGGGGTCAGTTAAATGCCCAAAATGGCCAGAAAAAGAAGAACTTTCATGTGAAACTCCACAGTCTGTTCTTGTTAGAAATGAAGGCTATTCCATTTGAGAAACTGCCAAGAAACTGAAGATTTCTGACAGCTGTGTGTTCTACTCCCTTCAGAGAACAGCACAAAAAGGCTCTGAGCAGAGTAGAAAGAGAAGTGGGCATCTTGACCGTACGGACGCAAGAAGTGTCCATCCAGTCAATCCAACTTGTGGGAGGAGATTCTTGAAGCGTGGGGTGAAATTTCTCCTGATTACCTCAACAAATTAACAGCTAGAATGTCAAAGGTCTGCGATGCTGTAATTGCTGCAAATTGAGGATTCTTTGACGAAAGCAAAGTTTGAAGGAAAAAAAATATTATTTCAAATACAAATCATTATTTCTAAACTTGTCAGTGTCTTGAATATATTTTCTATTCATTTTACAACTCGTGGTGGTAAATAAAAGTGTGACTTTTCATGGAAAACACAAAATTGCCTGGGTGACCCCAAACTTTGGAACAGTAGTGTTCCTCTTCATGACATCATAAGAGTTGTTTTCAGGCCGACTAGAACGGTGCAGTTTTCCCACACCAATTACACTGGGAACCAATGTGCTTAAAACCATTCAACGCATTCAAACCATTGAAGTGAACCCATAATGTGTCATCCACAGATGGTGTGGATTTGCCACTAAATAGAAACAAGGCCATTCGAAATAAGAATCATGGATCGCATCATTGACACCAGGGAGCGTTTATACTCATATCATTATTTATCTGCACCGAGCTCTGCTACAACATCTGCTGTGGAGACGGCGGCAGTGACGAAGCCAAAGATATAATCTTACCATACGAACACGGATATAGCAAATATTTGGTCTCCTCCACTGATCACAGCTCAATCTTCTTGTCAGTTGATTTCTGTTAGGTTTATCTAAACATTGTAAACAAGAAGAAAGACAAGAGATGAATTCAGTTTTACTCGCGAGGAGAACGGGCAGAGAGTGGGCATCAAAACCAACAGTCTCCACACGTTCTGATGACTCAAGGCCGTTCTCCTCTTTTTATTTCATTAGGAGGCCCTAGTTACAGAATGATAATTCTCAAGGGGAAGGGGAAACAGCCAAGACATAATAAGAAACTGATGAAGCTATGCATAGTACAAACACATAAAACATGATTAACAATCAGGAGGTGCCTTAGGTCAGACACCATCATAACTCTTGCATGTGTGACAGTGGGAGTTGGCTTCATGTGAGGAATCATCTCGAGGTTCACTAGAGCGACAGGACACTGCACACAGTTGTCAAACACACAGAGGTTATTCAACAAGTGACAAGTGATTGGTACATTATAAATCAAAGAATTGTAGTACATAAATGGTTAACTCATAGGCATAGAATATCACACAAGTATTTAGCAAATATGGGATAATAAAATTATTCTGACAATTTCTCTACCATATTCCGCATTATTCTTTGTTTATTTTACTGCGTGTGACCCGGATGAACCTGCTGAGGTCTACGGTGTCGTCATGGTTTGCTTAGACAAAACAAGTTTTACTCAAAAAATAACAAAATTGGAGCTCTACACTGGATCAAAAACCTTACGCATACAGGTGCTCATCAAACCGCAGGGCTTAGATTCTCATAAAGTAGAGAAAAGGATGGCAAAGGGCCTCCAATAGTCATGCCAACGCGTTTCGACTACTTAGTCTTCATCAGGGCTTCATCAAGTTTTACTCTACTTTAACTTTTCATTTCCTGAATACTTTGATTTTCACCATGAACACGTCCGTCGGTTCAGGATTAGGTGCGGGAACTCAGGTCGGCCTGAAAACACTAAAGGTGCAACAGAGCATTTCGAGCTTTTGAGATGCAGACAGACCAATAATAAAGAACTGCTGAAACGTGTGAATGAAACAAAACACAACTCCAGGTCTGTTTTTGAGGAGGTAACAACATTATAACACGACTTAAAGCTCACAAGAGTCAATTTTGTGTGATATATGACCTTTAAACTGTGTGTAGGTGACTGGAAGATTTAAAAGCCCTGAACCTGAATTTTCTCTTCATGTATTTGAGTTGCCAGTGTTTTCTAACAATGGAAAACGCCCTGTATTCTTGAGTATGAGATTTCTGACGTATGTTTTGAAACCAGAATTCTGTTCACTTTGAGCAGTTTGAACATTTGGTTTGCGTAATCATTGCGATCAAAACAAAATGGCAACTCAACTTACAGAAAACAAAATATGTCTTGTTTAATAAAATAATAATCTCGTAACCTTTTCCGTAACAATGCAACGTTTTTCCCTTGTAGAGCGAAGAGGACGAGATGGAGACCAATCAGGAGCCTCCTCAGCCTGAAACTCCTCCTTCAGAGTGTGAAGCCACGCCCCTCGACTCTGAAGCTCCGCCCCCTGACACTAAACCTGCCGTGGCGTCGTTACCGCTGCCCCCGTACGACCCAAACACGCCTTTAGGTAAGATCTGAGCGGGAGGAATGTTTTTGTGCCTAAATAGACCGATAATGACCACGTTTACATGATGTTTTTTAAATTTTTCTGAATTTAAATCACAGGTGTCAAACATAAGGCCCGGGGGCCAGATCCGGCCCTCCAAGACCTTTAATGTGGCCCTTGGGTGATTTTCTACTAAAATATTTTAATTTTCTGTGGTGCTTAACATAGCAGCGTCTCTGTACGTGGCCCCTCCCACCAGAGCAGCACAAATGAAGACTTGTCTCTTTCCAAACGCTCTTAAAGGACGATCGTTTTGACTGTTGACCGTGACACCCTCATCAGAAAAATGTTACAAATGAGAAAAGTGGAGCCGAGTGCAGAATTTTCCAAGAAAAATTGACTTATTCCTGTTTGCAAACAAGTTCATGTTAAAACATTGTGTTGAAATAGAATTTTTCTTAAAGTTTCAGGTTGTTCATAATATTATAATATTATAATAAGAAAGAGTTCATCAATTAAAAAAGATTTCTGTAATAGATTTGTGTTTCTCTGCACAAATATTTGAACTTATTGTTATTTTAGGGTTTATATGACATGAGTTTTCTGATCCGGCCCCTTTGGGATCAAATTAGGTTGGATACGGCCCCCGGACCAAAATGAGTTTGACACCCCTGATTTAAATGTTCTCCTTTTTTACATGGAAATAATAATTCTGAATTCTGGTTTACATGGAAAACACGTTAAATCGTCTTTATTTAATTCTGTGATTTCAACGTCTGGGGGTGGGGGAAGGTTCTGACTGGACAGAGACATGAACATATTTACGTCGACCGGAAGAAAACACACACTTCAGCTGCTACCGGCTTTTCTGTCATCTCTGTTTGTCGTTACGCCAGGGACACAAACACGATCCAAACTTTTTCCGCCGTCGTTCCAATGATAATTAAGCGTGAAGAGAATTCTGTCATCACGCTTTACGTCTGTTGGCTGAGGAGGAGAAAGGAGGAAGAAGACAAACTGAGGCTACGTTTATATGATGACGGTTTGAACAGAAGATGCAAAAGTGGCGTCGCGTCTTCACTTTTTATCCCGCGTTTAGATGAGTGTTTTCGGGAGGAAATCTGCCTGCATACGGTGACGCACAAGTGTGTGAAATTCGATTGGGTGTGTTTGCCATCCAACGTGTTTGTTCCTGTATGTGCAGTGTTGTGAAGGTGACTTTTAAAATGTAATCCCCTACAGATTACAGATTACACACCTCAAAATGTAGTTTGTAACGTAATCCATTAAATTACTTAAAGTGAGTAATGTAATCTGAATACTTTGGATTACTTGATTTGCTGTAGAGAAGCAAAGACCAGGATATCGTAACATTTTGTTTGCTAAAAGAAAATGAAAAAGCCCAGATTTTACTGAACCAAATTAAAAATATTATTGATAGAAGAAGAGGAGACACGTCCACGCAGCAGGATTTAGTCCTGTTAAATCCTGTTTCAGACCTGGTTTAGATCTGGTTTAGATCTAGTTTAGACCTGGTTTTAGTCCTGGTTTTAGCCCTGGTTTTAGTCCTGGTTTAGACCTGGTTTAGATCTAGTTTAGACCTGGTTTTAGTCCTGGTTTTAGTCCTGGTTTTAGCCCTGGTTTTAGCCCTGGTTTAGACCTGGTTTAGATCCTGGTTTAGACCTGGTTTTAGTCCTGGTTTTAGTTTTTAGCCCTGGTTTTAGTCCTGGTTTTAGACCTGGTTTAGATCTAGTTTAGATCTAGTTTTTTAGACCTGGTTTTAGTCCTGGTTTTAGCCCTGGTTTTATTAGTCCTGGTTTAGATCTAGTTTAGACCTAGACCTGGTTTTAGCCCTGGTTTAGTCCTGGTTTAGACCTGGTTTAGATCTAGTTTAGACCTAGTTTTAGTCGTGGTTTAGTCTTGGTTTAGACTTGGTTTAGACCTGGTTTAGTTTCCAGCAATAAGTGGAATTACCGGGGGGGGAAAAAAAGGGATACAGCCCAAAATATGAAAACAGGAAAATACTGCCGTGTAATCGATTTATTTTAACAAAGTAACTGTAATCCAATTACCGCTCACTGAAACAGTAACTGTAACTAACTGAATACAGTTACTCATAATTTGTACTCTGATTACGTAACACTGTGTATGTGACGTAAACGTGTACATGACCTGAGCAGATCTGACCAGAGTTTTGCGTCTTGGGCAGTGTAGACGGAAACACTACAGCGGAGTGTGTTCAACTTTTCCACTCTGGACGGTGGTTTTACATTTTTGCGTTTTTAAGCCCCAAAACGCCGTCAAAGTCTAAACGAAAGGCACTTCCGATAAAATATTTTGACGTTTTAACCCACAATCGTTCTCATGTAAACAGGCCCTGAGTCAACGGCTGCTATAAAATAATAAAACAGAATAAAAAGTGAAGACGCGACGCCACTTTCACGTCTTCTCCTCAGACCGTCGTCATATAATCGTAGCCTTGGGTCAGGATCATTCTCCAGGAAATGAATGGTCAGTGAAAGTGAAAACAACAGTACTCTAACTCTGTGTGTGTGTGTGTGTGTGTGTGTGTGTTGTGTTCAGGAGTGGAGCATGTGAAGATGGGATATTACTGCCGCGTCTGCTTCCTGTTTTACTCCAACGAAGACTCGGCCAAACGCATCCACTGCAGCAGCCAGGCTCACTACGACAAACTACAGGTCAGGACAATCTGCACAGGCTTTACCACTTTCTCTCTCTTAATCATGGTTTACTAATTCTGACCACAAGTACCTGAACAACGTACTGTATTTTGAATGGAGAATGAAAGCTTTCAGAAATATTTGTGTGCATAGGATAGAAATTTGTGCGTATTTGGCTGTAGTTGAGCATAAAATAAATATTTGCAAACTCTCGAATGAGTCCAGTCGTACATAAAATGGTTTAGTCCTGTTTTAGTCCTGTTTTAGCCCTAGTTTAGTCCTGTTTTAAACCTGTTTTTGACCTGTTTTAGTCCTGTTTTAGTCCTGTTTTAGTCCTGTTTTAGTCCTGTTTTAGTCTTGTTTTAGTCTGTTTTTGACCTGTTTTAGTCCTGTTTTAGACCTGTTTTAGTCCTGTTTTAGACCTGTTTTTGTCCTGTTTTAGACCTGTTTTTAGTCTTGTTTTAGTCTTGTTTTAGCCCTAGTTTAGTCTTGTTTTAGTCTTGTTTTAGTCTTGTTTTAGTACTTGTTTTAGTCCTTGTTTTTAGTCTTGTTTTAGTCCTGTTTTTAGTCTTGTTTTAGTCTTGTTTTAGTCCTGTTTTTAGTCTGTTTTAGTCTTGTTTTAGCCCTAGTTTAGTCCTTGTTTTAGTCCTGTTTTAGTCCTGTTTTAGTCCTGTTTAGTCCTGTTTTAGTCCTGTTTTAGTCCTGTTTTAGACCTGTTTTAGTCCTGTTTTAGTCCTGTTTTAGTCCTGTTTTAGTCCTGTTTTAGTCCTGTTTTAGTCCTGTTTTAGTCCTGTTTTAGACCTGTTTTAGTCCTGTTTTAGTCCTGTTTTAGTCCTGTTTTAGTCCTGTTTTAGACCTGTTTTAGTCCTGTTGTAGTCCTGTTGTAGTCCTGTTTTAGTCCTGTTTTAGACCTGTTTTAGTCCTGTTTTAGCCCTAGTTTAGTCCTGTTTTAGTTTTAGCCCTATTTTAGTCCTGTTTTAGCCCTGGTTTAGTCCTGTTTTAGTCCTGTTTTAGTCCTGTTTTAGACCTGTTTTAGCCCTAGTTTAGTCCTGGTTCAGACCTGGTTCAGACCTGGTTCACTCCATATGCAGCTCAAAACTCCAGCATCTTGATCGATGTTTCTTCTGTCTGTGAAGTGATGTCATATTTTTAACAGTCGAGTCGCGTCTGTGAATTCGTATTCGTACTGAAGAAATCATAAATCAATCGTAAATTTTCATTTCGTGGTTGTAATTCTTGACGTCGTAACTTTTCAATTCGTATTCTGATGGATAAAATACACACAACACATTTTATGTCTGACTGGACTCAATCGAGAGTTTATGAATATTTATTTTATGCTCAACCACAGACAAATATGCACAATATTTCTGAAAGCTTTCTTAGTCCATACATTTTGGGCTCATTATTTATCATGTGTACATTTTCTTTGAGAAAGTGATGATGTTTGTGTTATTTTTGTATTCCTAACGTATTTATTTAGATTTATTCAGTGCTGCTCGTTTCTTTGAATGATACTCTTTAAAAATGTGTTTACTTGGATCAGTGACATAATCACTGACACAAAACAATTTATTTTCTCGCCAAGAGAGCGGGAAGGAGAAAAAAACTTCTTTGGGTCTAGGTGACCCCGAGGAGAGTGTGAGGGTTAAAATTTGAGATCACATCAAATATGTATTAGAGCTGCTCGCCGGCTACAGATAGACTATATTTATTTATTTATTTATTAGGCTTGTTCTGGATTCAATGTTTAAAGGTTGTATAGAGGATTTTCCAAGGAACGAGAAATCCAGCGACTGTTTGTCCTTTTTCAAATGTTGCGCATGCGCGTGAAACCACCCCCCCTCCCCTACAGCTCCTACGTAGAAACACCTCCTCCCTCCTCCTCCTTACGCCAGAAACAGGTTTGTTTACAGCCGGTGCTGCACATGACTTGTAAACAACTAACTACAGTGTTGGTTAGGCAAGACGGAGAAGTGAGGAGCGGGGGGAGCGGTGCGTGACAGATTTCGTGCACGGAGAAGTGAGGAGCAGGGGGAAGAGTGGATCGGGCAGCGGGGAGAGGAGCAGGAAAGGGGAGCAGAGAAGGTTGCGCGGAGATTCAGTGCGAATGAACTAGCTACAACACGCAGCAGCAAGCGGACTCTTTCTTTGCCTTGAAAATTACGTTTTCAGACATAGGATATCGCTTTCGTGTCCTGAAAAACGTTTGTCTAACTCTTGGAAATAAAGTACGTTTTCATAATAAGCAGAAGTTTCCTGTCCAGGAGTAATTTGTGGACCAGTGCGTCAGTCTTTAGACCCTGCGTCTGCTTCAGTCGCGCCATCGCTGGAATGAATCTTCAAGAATCACCTTAGTTTGGCTTCGCTGCTTTTCCTCTTGTCTTCTTCTTTCAGCGACCTCAAAAACGGACTTTCTTTTGTGGCGAACTGCTCCTGGATTCTTGTCGCCATTGCAACAAACTTTGTGCGAACTGCGAGGAAGATATAGGTCAAAAAAAGCCGCTAAGAACTGTTGCGTTGGAGTAAACAGCGTCTGTGCGTCTTGCGTCTGTGGACTGCGTGACAGTCGTACGTAAACCACGTACCGGCAGGCGCAGGCAAGTCAGTTACACTAGAAACGTAGGGAGTTTGATTGACAGCCTGTCAGCTCACAGATAACGAGGCAGTGTCGTTATCTATTGGCAAATGTTTAGCCCCACCACGTCCAGAGTTGATGAATTTTTATTCTCTTTTTTTTGGTCATCATAATTACAAGGCTACTGCATCTTTATAATCTATCATTGACAATTTGAAACAAAAAAAAATCCTCCATACAACCTTTAAGCAAAACTATTATTACACATTTATTTTAATATGTAATATTAAACCTTTTCTTATCTTGAAAGAAGAGAAAACATGCAAATGTTGATGAAATTTTCAATAAATATTTAGTTTGGCCCACGACTTAGTCCCAGTTTTTAATTTTGGCTCTTTGTGAATTTGAGTTTGACACGTTTGACCTAAAGTGAATTTTCCATAACTTTACGGCAGCTACATGTGTAGAATTAATTAAACTTTTCATATTTAGCCCTAAATGTCAACTCACTCTTTACACTTGATAATATCCCAGTCTAGATCTGTTTTAATCTTAGATCTTGGTCTTACTAAATCATGTTTTACATATCTTACAGAAGACTAAACGTGTTTTTCCTCATTTTTACAGAAATTCCTGGAGAAGAAAAAGACGTCGCCAAAATAGTGTTTTGTTTTTTTCCATTAGGTTTTATACAAATCTAAAAACACTCAAACTTCAGCTCTGAACCATTTTTTAAATTGTGTTTTTGATTGTGACAAAAGAGGGAATCGTGTGAATGTGAACTGAACACCTGAAGCGCTGATCAAATCTACAAGAGTCTGTTTTTTACTCATCTGTTGTATTTCTGTTGGTTTTTCTGGAGAACTTGGATTTCCAGTGGAGTTCAAACTGACAAACGGTGAACTAGAGTTTAGTTTTCTTGGGCTCTGGTTTTTGCGATCCTTTTTTCTTGTACAGATAAAACTGCATCTTGGATCGAAGTGGAAATGTTTTTTTAATAAAAGCACATTTCTTTGAAGACTCTGCGTGTTTCGTTTGATTCTGTAGGTCAAAAATGGGCGGGTACATCTTAATGTTTTTATTCATGTTTGAGCACAAGACACAAAACATTTCACCTACTCAGTACAATAAAAAGTCACCAGGCAAATGGACAATTCACTACCAAACTCAACTTATGTACAACAAAATAAAAAGCTAAAAATAAAAGGCGTGATGTGTAAGTGTGAAGGCTCTAGTGGGATTATGGGTAATGTAGTCTCATCTCAGCAGCTCCATGGATCCTTTCCTGTGAACTCCTGTAAACAAAACAAAAAACAAAACAGGATTTGGGTAAAAAACTAATACTGATACAATGCCAGAATGTACAGGACAATATTTATAGGTCCCTTTATAAAGTTGTTTCCTTTCATTTACACGTGTTTGAAGATGGAGTAATCCTTTATTACCAGTCCGTCTACAAGTTCAAAATGCTCTGTTCCACCTTGTGATGTCATGTAGTGGTGGTTTTCAAGTTAGCAGCTCCCTTGTACCTAGATTACAGCCCTGGATTTCGTTAATTCTAGGGCTGAAATTATCCAAATTATTCCAGTGAAGGTGTGTGGAGTTTAAAAACACAATGGAATAGAGTGTTTTCAGTTTGAGAGAAGGACTCAGCCTAAATCTGCAGAGTTTGTGCATTAAACCTGAGAATGAAAACGGAACTCCAGGTCTGTTTGTGACGAGGAAACAACATATCAGAGCAGAAAATAGCGTCATGAGTTCTCCTGTGTTGAAGAGGTGATCTTATCCTACACATTGAACACACTTTGCTCCAAATTAACGGTGTTTGCCGAGTGAAAAGGACCCTGTATCAGCTCAATTTTATTTATCTCATTCATTTAGTACAACCAACACTGGAGAAGAGAAAGGAGTTGTCAGTAGCAGTTCTGGCGTTACCTTGTATTTGAGGTAGTGCTCTTGGCTGCTGCAGTGGGAGACTCTGGCCTCGTGTTCATCAGAAATCTTCACATGACACAGGTCGCAGTAAAACAGGAGAAACTCGGTCCCTGAAACACAAGAGCAGAAGGTCACAAGGTCACACACCCGCTCGGACCGAACCACAGTCTGTAATATCCACCCCAGAGCCACCACCTGTACTCGGTCACGTCCTCAAAAACAGACCTGGAGTTGTGTTTTGTTTCATTCACACACGTTTAATGTTCACGTTACGTCACAAACCGAGAAGACGTTTGGAAACAGGCAATGACAACTTCCCGACACTGGACTCGCCGACCGACTGTGATAAAACACACTGAAGTAACTGTGATCAGCGGTAAAATGAAGACTGAATGTGTATGTGCTGTTTATAAACATACCAAATTCAGGATGATTCCAAACAAATATTTCCCTCCCTCTGTTTTCCAAAATAACATCGTGCACACAGCATCGTTTTCAAAAAAGTTTTCGTTTACATCGATCCACATAAATACACCATCGAGCGCCGTCATAACTACACCTGTATGTTCAAACCATGGATCTATAATATAAACTGGATAAGCCCCTCCCCCTCTGTTCTGGCTCGAGACCAACTAGTGGCCGTTTCAGGTACTGCAGCTCCCGGGAATATGGGGCCCAGAAAGAATTCTCCCATAGAGCGCAATGTATTTTTTTGGGAATTCAAACTGCCCGTGTTCAGCTGACAGGACATCCACAACTTTCACAAAGGTCGGATTTTTTTGAGATTCTTTTCTACTTTCACAACATAAACTTTTTAAAATATTTAAATCCTCAAAGCGCCTGAATGTTACTTAGCCTCGCCCCGCTCTGAGCCCGCGCTCGCTCCGCTCTAGCAGCTCTCGCTCTGATTGGTCCAAACGCTCCACACCGTGCACGATACAGACGTCACACGGAGGGAGGAGCTCGACTGGACTGAGGACGTAAATGCGCAAGAGCAAAATTGCTTAGGCCTGTGCGCCATTGAGCACAGGACACTGAAAACAATATGGCGTCATCCTGGGTTCACGTTCAGATTTTATTACAGTTCTATGGGCCAGACCTGTAGCATTTATCTCATTACAGTTGTAAGTTTTACTCATAAATACCTTGAAAAACCTGCAGTACTGAGTGGGCTCGCCTCTTCACAGATCTGCTAAAGAAGTGGCAAAATTCCTGACCTCTGACCTCATGCATCTCTGGTCATGGATATGAAACATCAGCTGTGTGTGAAAATGAAACACATGAAAAGTGTTTCACCAGAAGACGTGACTGCTGCTCTGATCTTTCATCATCATCATCATCATCAAAAGGGAAACACTGGTCGCACTTCTGGCGCATCAGCTCCTAAAACTGTTTATCTTAGGGTCTGTTTACATGAGAACACTTGTGGGTAAAAACGACAAAATATTTTATCAGAAGTGCCTTTCGTTTAGACGGTGACGGCGTTTTTGGGCCTTAAAAACACAAAAATCTAAAACCACCCTCCAGAGTGGAAAAGTTGAATAGTCTCTGCCGTAGTGTTTCCATCTACACTGCCCAAGACGCAAAACACCGGTCAGATCTGCTCAGGTCACGTACAGGTTTACCTCACATACATCACCACTAGGGATGGGCATGATTAGTCGATTAATCGATAATTGATCATTAAGAATTTTATCGATTACGTGCATTTTAATCCACAAACCGAATGTAGGTTGCTGTGTGTAGTGTGACCAAACAGGTCTGTGTACATGTGTCTCTGCATCAGAAGGAGCGAGACACAAACAGTGGGTCAGTCTGCAACGTACCGAAGCACAAATGTGTATTTAACAATGATTTGTACAAGAAATTCCACACTTTCCGTTGCGTTCGGGACAAGTGTGAGTCCATGTGCACAGTGTATAAAGCAGCACATATGTGTCAGTGTCCAGTGGGAAAAAGTTTTACCAGGTGAGAGTCGCTCAATGTCGATGACGAGTCCCCACCTCCCTCCCCCCGTACGCTGTCCTGGTTTTGACAAACACAAATCTGGTCACACTAACCTTTATTCCACTGAGTCATGTCAGAAGTTGAACTGCATCAGCCAGAAGAGCTGTAGTTTTATCTTCGCTTAGTTTATGCAAATTGAAGATGCGGTTTTAAGTTTCGTTTCTGTGAGAAACACATTATAATGTCAAACGGGCTGATGTGGCTCTAGAGTCGTTACGGTTTATATGTCGTAAAGTTGAATTTATTTATGCAGATTAGTCGTGCAGATAGTAATAATAATGATGATCATTTTAATATAAAAACGTTAATGATTAATCAATAATCGATCGTTAATTCTTCCGACGATCGATTAAGAAAATTTCATCGAATGCCCATCCCTAATCACCACCGAGCCGTCTGGCATGCATACCCAGTCGAACTCCACACACTTTTGCGTCACCGTATGCGTGCAGATTTCCTCCCGAAAACACTCGTCTAAACGCGTAATGAAAAGTGAAGATGCTGTTCAGACGTCATCATATAAGCACAGCCCCACTTTACACGCAAACGACAAACCGTAGTTTTCCAGAATCTCCACTCTAGCCGTAGTTTTTAGAAAGATTCATTTTACAGAGGCGAATTTGCGTGTAAAAGATGTGTACAAACGAATCTGATGAGCCGAACATAACGGAACGCTACAGTGAAGATGGAGATAAAGAAAACTGGGACATTTTCTCATTTTTCCTAAATTTTGTCAGACTTAATACTGTGAACAGAGCCCGACGAAAGTTGTCATCGCATGTTTCCAAACGTCTTCCTGGTTTGAATCTATCAGTCTGTCTACATCTCCATATCTCAAAATGCTCCGTTCCACCTTGTGATGTCATGAATCGGTCATTAACAGCTGCCTTTTACCTTTAATTCAGTAGAGTTTGGCTGAAATTATCCAAATGATTCTAGTGAAGGTGTGTGGAGTTTAAAAACACAGTGAGAAGAGCTGAGCTGAACGAAACAAAACACAACTCCAGGTCATGTTTTTGACGTGAAAACAACATTATAACAAATCAGAAAATAGCCCAATATGAGCCCTTTAAAACTCCTGCCGCCGTTACTGACCTACGGGCTTCCTGGGTCCTTTCGTCTCTGCATCGCCACCTTCTGTTGACGTGGAGTCCTGGAAGAAGAAACACTAGAGCTTTAGTTTGTCCTTGAACAGTCTCTGAGCAGAGCATGAGTCCACTTGTGCCTCACCTGTTTGAGTTTCTTCTCCCGTCCGGGCTCTTCCTCTTCATCTCCCTTCCTCTTGGCTGCCCTCCCTCTTTCACTTCCAGTCTCCTCTTCCTGCACTTTTTTCGTCTCGTCCTTTGACTCAGCCACATCTTCCGATTCCGGTTTTTGCTCTCCTAGATCTTTTAGCGAAACTACGTTCTCGATTTTGACCATTGAACACTCCTCTTCCTCTTGGTTGACCAAGTCTTTATGAACCACCCAGCCGTCTTCGTCTTCGTCCTCGGTGGCGGCGGCGGGGACGGGCTCCTCCTTCCCCTCCTCGTTTGCTTCGTTTTTTTCTGGAGGTGGAGGACTCTTCGGTTTCTCCCCGTTGTCCATTTTGTTATTTTCTCTGGATTTGTCCGCAGATTTGGACCTAGACCTACCCCTGGACCTGTCTCTAGACCTGTCCCTGGACTTGCCTCTGGACCTGTCTCTAGACCTGTCCCTGGACTTGCCTCTGGACTGTCTCTAGACCTGTCCCTGGACTTATTCCTGGACGTGTCTCTGGACCTGTCCCTGGACTTATTCCTGGACCTGTCTCTAGACCTGTCCCTGGACTTATCCCTGGACTTATTCCTGGACCTGTCTCTAGACCGGTCCCTGGACTTATCCCTGGACTTATTCCTGGACGTGTCTCTAGACCGGTCCCTGGACTTATCCCTGGACTTATTCCTGGACGTGTCTCTAGACCGGTCCCTGGACTTATCCCTGGACTTATTCCTGGACGTGTCTCTGGACCTGTCCCTGGACTTATTCCTGGACGTGTCTCTGGACCTGTCCCTGGACTTATTCCTGGACCTGTCCCTGGACTTATTCCTGGACGTGTCTCTGGACCTGTCCCTGGACTTATTCCTGGACCTGTCTCTGGACTTGTCCCTGGACTTGCCTCTGAGTCTGTCCCTGGACTTGTCCCTGGATTTGTCTCTGGACCTATTCCTGGAAATCCCTCTGGACCTGTCCCTGGATCGATCTCTGGACGTGTCTCTGTTCCGACGTGGAGACCGGCTGATTTCGACCTTCGGGTACATGTGAGCGGCCCGGCTCGCGACCAGTTGGGCGAGGAGATGATTGCCACGTTCACGTAGGGGAGAACTTCCGACTCTGAAATGTCTCATGACTTGACCGAACTCGTCGTACTCCACTCCCCTCCTGAGAAAAACACGACGCGGTGTTAAAGGGCTGAGGGCTGCTCTCTGCTCTCTGCTCTCTGGTCTCGTCTCAGGTCCCTGGTCTTTGGTTTTGGTCCCAGTCCCAGTCTGGTCCTAGTCTGGTCTTGGTCCCTGGTCTGTTTTAGTCTTACCCCCATGGAAGTTTGTTGTATTTGTTGGATATAAACACATCGATAGAAGATCCCCCGAAAACGTAATTTTGCATTTTGGCCACAAAGTCCCAAGCTTGACGTCGATTCTTGAACTCCACCAGGCCCTGAAACGCCAGAGAAGCAGGTCAGAGTGAATCACACAGCTGGTTTTAGACTCAGGGGGTGCAAAAATATCGACATATCGTGTCGTTTAATGTGATGATACAGTATTGATATCGTGGGCTGCTCTATCGATATATCGTCAAGAGTATTTTTTTGGTATATAAGAAGTTGCCAATACGATACATACCTCAATACACAGGCCACGATATGATACACATCTCTATAGTATTTGACTTGTTTTCATTGCAGATGCAGTGTTTGTTCACACTAATCCGATTGAAAACGGCTCCAGGGACAGAACAATCTGGTGCCTCCAGCTCCCACGAATTCATCTGAGTACAGATCTGATCCAGCACCGTGTGGACGCCTGAAAACACTGATACTCTGACGTAGAAGCTCTCGTGGCGTCTTTAATGAACCATGTCCCTGTGACTTGTGCCTTCCTGATTCGCTGGGTTCGTGATATTGTGATTGGCATTTTACTAAATTATTTTGTTACAGCTTCAGGTTTGTTGCTTGTTTAGTGGAATTATGCAACACATTTGATGATTAAAGTGTTTGTGTTTCATATGAACTTTGCACAAGAAGTGGTTTAACAAAGACTTTTAGTATCACAGCCATGGTTTAGTTTACATTTACACTGAAACGAATCACTGTATCACCTTATCGGAAATGATTTGTGTCCAGCCATGATCCACACAGTAACATGAAACCGCCTGAAACACTAGTCACATGACTAGGCTGACGTCACGACGTCACGTGGGCGGTAAAAACAAGAAACTGGAGCATCATGTCTGAAGTTACAGCAGCAGATTTTGAGCCGAGGAAGATGCCATGCGTGAAAACAGTCTTTTCGTGGACCAATAATGAGGTTCAGTTGTTACTGAATGTTTCCCGTTTGTTTCTGGTTTATTTGAACTGTTTTCCACAGTAGCGCCACATGATCGATGTCACAAACCCAGAGAAACAGGAAGGAGCAAGTCACAGTGACGTGGTCCAATAAGGACGCGCCTAGAGCTCCTAAAGTCAGCGTATCAACGTTTTCAGGCGTCGTGCCGCGTCGTGGGAGCTGCCGGCACCAGATCGTCACGTCTCTGGAGCTGTTTTCCATCGGATTAGTGTGAACGAACTCTGCATCCACAACGAAAACGACTTGAATACGAACTAGTGCGGATGGGGTCTTATCCATCATTTTTACTGAACCGTATCAAATCGATTTGAAATATACCAAATCAAATCGAAAGCTCACTGTATCGAGACATGTATCGTATCGTGGCCTGTGTATTGTGGTATGCATCGTATCGGCAACTTCTTAACGATACCCAGGCCTGTTTTAGATATTACAACATGTTTGGTCTGAGGAGACCCAGGTGCTGCTCAGGTCTTACACAGAGCACTGCTGCTCCTACTGCAGTCCCAACTCTTACCATTCTGTGCTTTCTGTTGATGAAGTAACGCACGGGTTTATAGACCAGCTTCACCATCTTTATGAACTGAATGTCCGAGTACTGGCACAGAGGAAGGTTCCCGATGTAGACCACTCGAGGAGACTGAAGAGGAGACAGAACAGAACATCAAACTCAAACGGCCCAAACAGAACAGAACAGACTAAACCCAGGTGAGAAAGGTTAGACAAACTCACATCTTCATCCTCGTCTTCTGCATCTGCATCGGCATCAGCCTCAGCCTCAGCCTCAGCCTCAGCCTCAGCCTCAGCCTCTGCAACACACATTTCAATATAGATCACTGGATTCGTACATGTAAATACACTGACATAAAACAAGACTGAACGTTTGAGGAAAAGCAGACTGAGGAACGTCATTGTTTGACTTTCAGTTTTTTTGTTTTTTTTAAGTAAACTTTCATTTTCTTGCAGCTGTGGGAGGCTTTACTCATTATTTATATTTGAGCCACGACTTAAGATCAGCAGAAGTGATCACTTCAGCTAGAATCATGCAGTGGACCCCCGGCATAAAGCAGCCTCTCTGTAACTGTGGAGTCTTCAGGAGAACACTGAGCTTTTAGTTTAATTTGATGTCACTCCTCACACAGGAAGAGTCTGATTTACAGATTTAAATAAAAGGCAGATGCGTTTTTTTACCGGCTTCTTCAGAATCACTGACTTCATCCAGAGTGATGCAGTATCTCAGATCAGGAGGGCAGTCCGTGTTCTACACAAATGTCAACAACAGTAATTAGATTTCACCAATGTTAAAATATTCTGGTAGTAGTACAGGGGTATCAAACTCATTTTGGTCCGGGGGCCGTATCCAACCTACTTTGATTCCAAAGGGGCTGGATCAGAAAACTCATGGCATATAAACTCCAAAAATAATAATAAGTTAAAATATTTGTGCAGAGAAATGCAAATCTATTACAGTAATCTTTTAGAATATTTTCTTTTACAAAATATTATAATATTATGAACAACCTGAAACTTTAAGAAAAATGCAATTTCAACACAATGTTTTAACAATAACTTGTATGTAAATAAGAATAAGTCATTTTTTCTTGGAAAATCCTGCACTCGGCTCCACTTTTCTCATTTTTGTCATTTTGCTGATGAGGGTGTCACGGTCAACAGTCAAAACGATCGTCCTTTAAGAGCGTTTGGTATGATAAGCACTGCAGAAAATTACTAATATTTTAATAGAAAATATAATTTAAATATTTTAGTAGAAAATCAGCCAAGGGCCAGATTAAAGGTCTTGGAGGGCCGGATCCGGCCCCCGGGCCGTATGTTTGACACCCCTGTAGTAGTAGTATTAATAGTAGTACTACTGAGAGCTCACCTCATCGTCTATGTGCTCTCCAACCACCTGCATGCCCTCGATGTCACTGTCCTCTCCTGATTGGCTGTGGAGATCACAAAAAGAAAAGATCACATGTGGATTTGACTTAAACAGAACTATTACAGATATTACAGATGTTACTATTACTAATACAGGCTGGTCCTGTTTGATCCTGTTTCTTGTACCACAGACTGAAGGTGTTGAGAGAAAGTCTTCAGGTTCATACTTACTTGGGTGCATCTTGTGTCTGCTTAGCTTCTGCCTCTGAAACAAACAAACACAACACACACTACATTCAGATGTGGGACACGTGCAGCAGTCAAAGGTAAAACTAAACTGAGATTTCTGAACAAGAAAACCCCCAGTTGAGGTAAATTCAAGATAGATACATGCAATGCAACTTACATGCAATTTACACATTGCACCTTTACACGGCTATAGGAAAACTCCCGGGCATCATGAAAGACTGGAGTCAGTACAGATGTAACCTCATGTATTTCTTGGTACTTTAGACATTTAGTTCTGTTTGTGGCTAAAGCTAAAAGAAACACAAAACTACCTCAGGTTTATTGCAATTTTTTTCTGCACTTATTTCACCTCTTTGTTTCTCTACACCGCGCTTTAACCTGTGGGTTTGGCTCGTTTTAGATATATTAGGCGCTGGAAATATCAAGCGTTTTGATTTTCACTTGTGCATGGACACAAAAAGGAAGCAGCTGTTACTAATGTGCTGGTTTTGTTTTACTAACATGTCGGCTCAACGTATAAGTCACAATTTATCACAAGACTGGCTGAGGGAGAATTATAATTTTTGGTTTATATCAGATTTTTCTTGTCTTGTTTTCTGCTTTCTCTCTTGTCCAATCATCTCACTTGGGTGTTGAGGTGTGCAAAAATATCAAAATATCGATATGTCGTATCGTTTAATGTGATGATACAGTATTGATATCATGAGCTGCTGTATCGATATATCACCAAGAGTATTTTTTTGTAAATTTTACTCAATTATTTTGTTACACCGCTACAGTTTTGTCACTTGCTCAGAGGAAAGAAACAGTTTTTTGCGACACATTTGATATTTTCACTGTTTTGATGAATGATTTGACTCAAAGGTTTTCATTCCGCACTCTTATCTCTAATTTATGTAATTAATGTCTCTCTCTCTTTTAAATTTTATGATGACTATTTATGTTTCGATTTTTTTTATTGTGATCTTAATGTATTTCTTATTTTGTAACGCTCTTTGAATTACTTTGTGTACGAATTGTGCTATACAAGTAAACTTGCCTTGCCTTAAAAAGTTTGTGTTTTATATGAAATTTGCACGAGAAGTGGTTTAACAAAGACTTTTAGTATCACAGCCATGATTTAGCCTTTTTTTTTTTTTTTTTTATTGAATTGAATCGTATCGAATCAAATCAGAAGTGCACTGTATCGAGATTTGCATCGTATCGTGGCCTATGTATCGAGATAGTTATCGTATCGGCAACTTCTTTATGATGCTCAGCCTTATTTGGGTGTTGATTTGTTTGAACAGAGTCTAGTTTGACCAAAAAAAACAAAACTAACACCAATAATGACACAGGATTGTATTGTGAAGATTTTCTATCCTATGATAAAAGCGTAGCAGTGTCACCTGGGCTGTGTTCGGACTCGGGCTTGGACTCTGGCTTGGACTCAGGTTTGGATTCGAGCTTGGACTCTGGTTTGGACTCCAGCTTGGACTTAGGGCTTTGATTCCGGCTTGGACTCGGGTTTGGATTCCGCTTGGACTCGGGTTTGGATTCCGGCTTGGACTCGGGTTTGGACTCCAGTTTGGACTCCTGCTTGGACTCGAGCTTGGACTCCGGTTTGGACTCGGACTCGGTTTTGGACACAGGTTTGGACTCGTCTTTGTGCCGGTCACTGGACGCACTGCTCCTCTCTCTCCTGTGTCTCTCAGAGGACACGGACCGGACGCTTCTCGCTGGAGATTTGCCGTGGCTCTTCCCTCGGCTGCGGCGGCGTTCTCTGGCGGGACTTCTACTCGCTCGCCGCTTCTCCTCTTTGCTCTTGCTCGGTTTTGGCTCTTCTTCAGATTTTTTCACGTCGTCATCTTCGTAAGGTTTTGCCGTAACGCAGCGCCTAAGAACACGACATGGAGTTACATTTTACACGGTTTGAGTTCAGCCCGAGTTTTGTCCGGGTGGTTTAACCCTGCTCCAATTTAAGTTTAAAAGGGTTCATGTTACACGATTTTCTGATGTTATAATGTTGTTTTCTCATCAAAAACATACCTGGAGTTGTATTTTGTTTCATTCACACATGTTTAACACACAAATCTTGCATATTTAGGCTCAGTTCTCTCAGAAAACACTCTCTTACACCTTGTCGTGCCGTGGTAATACAGAAAGTACTCCACTGTGTTTTTAAACTCCATACACTTTCACTAAAATCAAGCAGATAATATGCGTTAATACGAACATTTAAATGACCAAAATGACGAGGCCACAGCAGCAGCCACAGAGATGAGACAAAATATTCCAATGTAAGTCAGTGACTAAAATCACTTTTAAGGGCAATTTTGTTACAGAGACTTAATAATCCATTTTATTTATTGCTTTGGTTGTGTTTGGTTCAACAGTGGTTTATTCAAGTGCATTTTTGTCCTCGCTGTTATGTTAACAGTTACTGTTTTATTTAGGCTGTTTTTGTTGTTGTCTTACTTCCTGTGTTAAATGTTCTTTAGAAAGTAAAGTTTTTTAATCTTTGAAAGGGTGTAATTGCATTTTTATTCCATGGTTATTATATTAGTTGAAATTGGTCTCAAAATGTCAATACTATCGTTTATCGCAATAAAGTTCTTGGTCAATTAATCGTCCAGCAAAATCTGTTATCGTTACAGGCCTAGCTGTAAAAGTTGGACTAATAATAAAGGGTTACTCAAACATGTGTGTGTGTTTTTGAGGAGGTTTCTATCATGGCTTAAATCTCACAAGACTCAATTTTGTGTAATATCTTTCCTTTAATCTTATCTTCAGTTACAACAGTTAATGGTTCTGAAGGTGGCAGCTGAAACAAGGTAAATACAAGCCACTTACGAAATGGTCTGACTAAAAGAAATAAAAGAGATGAACTCACGCCAGAGTCCTGAACTCCTGGGAGAAGGACACTTTGATGTCCACTCCGTTCATTTTCAGAGAACTGTCCGCATAATACTCCACCATTTTGTGAGCGTCCGCTGCGTTCTGCATCTCCACATAGGCCTGCATCTAAAAACGACAACAGGACAGATCTAAGGCTCTGCTCATTTAGGTCCAGTGTCGCATCGTTGCAGATTTTTCTGTTCCAATACCGGTAAAAATACTTTGAGTTTAAGTATCTGCCCGATTCCCAATACCAGTGTAGGAACAGAAAATTACACTTATTTCCTTAGAAAACAGTTAAATTATTACACAGAGATCCAATATTTATTTAACTGTTATTTCCCCTTCGCATCACAACTGAATAGCTTCATAAAAATGAACATGAAAACTATGTAACGGCTGATTTTGGCACAGAATTTCTCAATGTTTGATTCCATCTAATTAAAAGGCCCAACCAGGATTGTCTGAACTGCATTTTCTTCAGTATTCAGAAAACCAAATATGACCTACTGCTACAGAAGAACACTATGATAAATGCATAGCAATGCCAGGTACAGAGTGAGTGAATGAATAATGCTGAATGTAATGCTCGGTAAAGTGTCTTTGTGACAAAAAAAATGTCTGTGAAAAGCACTATATAAATAAAGACTTAGTTACTTACTTATGAAATTGAAATAGCAGCTGCTCGCTCTAAACCCAAACAACACGAATCTGATCTCATTGACCCTCCCCAGCCAGCTCCGGTCTCAAAACTGCTCGGTATCAACTCAAATACCCAACCCCTCGCAACTTTGCACCCTCTGTTGTATCCACCGCCTAGGTGGCACTTGTCTATGTTGGGGTAACGCCACACCCCTCCCCTACCTTGCACTAGTCCCGTGAAATGTTTGTACTGTGTTTTGACTATGTGCTGATGTGCGGAGGTGTTTTTTTTAAAGTTTTTTTTTTTACACTACCATACTATGCCCCAGTTAAGTGTCATGGTTTGGGGCCGTTCTCCGCCTCTATCCTCATGTTATGCTGCAGTGTTTAGTCCTATCTGCTATTTGTCTCCCGGTCCAGTCCTCGTAGTCATCCCCGTGTATTGTATTGTATTGTATGTTTGTAATGTACGGATGGGGTGACAGGTCCAATTTTGATTCCTTTGTATGTACATGTGAAGAAATTGACAAATAAAGACCATTATTCATTCATTGTTCATTCATTCTAGGAGCCTTCACTGAACTTAATTTTCCAGCAACATTTACCTGTACGCGACACCTGCCTTGAAGTGAAAGCCAAACACTTGTAAAAGAACATAAAAATAAAAGCCTTACTGTCTTCGGGAGGAACATGGTGTAGCGAGGCGTTCCAAAGCGTTTGATGACCGTCAGGAGGTCAGATTGACCGTCTCTACCGAAGGGGACAGGTTGAAAGTTCAGCACGAAAGAACTCTGGAACAAAAGAAACACAAACATCAAATCAACATTGGGGCTGCATGATCATCACACCCCCGCCTCAGGGTGCCACAGAAACCCCGGGACTGAAAACTGAAGGGAGTCATTCATTAGAAAAGTGTCTCTATATTAAAGCTTTCTGTCTTTCCTATCTTCTAAATTTATTACATAAACATTGGGTACAACCCCTTTCAAAACTGTAAAGATCCTGCTGGTGATCTGGACAAAAATCCTGAACTCAGCTGAATTAACCACATGGTAGGGACGCACCGAAACTGCTTTTTCAGTTCTGATTTCAATACAAATACAGCTTTAAGTATCTGCCGATGCCAGATATCAACAGACACCAGTGCAGAGAAATTTATTTACTTTAAACAAAAATAAAAGAACTGATCTAAGTGTGTTATTTAGCTGTTATTTATCCCTCAAGTTACTACAGAACAACTTTGTAAAAAAAAAAAAAAAAGGCCTAAAAACTACCTAAAAAGCCTCTAGATCAGGGGACCAGTACCGGGTCGTGGGTCGTTGGGGACCAGGCCTCAAGAGCACAAACGCCCCCTTCAATATGCCTGTTATGACCAGCTTTTGCTCAAATCCCGTTTTAGTCCTGGTTTAGTCCTGCTTTAGTCCTGGTTAAATCCTGTTTTAGTCCTGGTGTTAGATCTGGTTTAGACCTGGTTTAGACATTGTTTAGTCCTGGTTATATCCTGTTTTATTCCTGATTTAGTCCTGGTTTAGTCCTGGTTTTAGTCCTGGTTTAGTTCTACTTTTAGTTCTACAGACCGCACCTCCTCCCTTATGCAGCGTGGGCAAATGTCTCTAAACTAGAACTAAACCAGAACTAAAAGTAGAACTAAAAGTAGAACTAAACCAGGACTAAAACCAGGTATAAACCAAATATAAACCAGGTCTAAAACAGGTCTAAAACAGGATTTAACCAGGACTAAAACCAGGACTAAACCATGTCTAAACCAGGACTAAAACAGGATTTAACCAGGACTAAACCAGAACTAAAACCAGGACTAAACCATGTCTAAACCAGGACTAAAACAGGATTTAACCAGGGTTTCACCAGGATTTAACCAGGACTAAACAATGTCTAAACCAGGTGTAAACCAGGACTAAAACCAGGACTAAACCATGTCTAAATCAGGTCTAAAACAGGATTAAACCATGTCTAAACCAGGTCTAAAACAGGACTTAAACCATGTCTAAACCAGGTCTAAAACAGGACTAAACCATGTCTAAACCAGGTCTAAAACAGGACTAAACCATGTCTAAACCAGGTCTAAACAAGGATTAAACCATGTCTAAACCAGGTCTAAAACAGGACTAAACCATGTCTAAACCAGGTCTAAAACAGGACTAAACCATGTCTAAACCAGGTCTAAAACAGGACTAAACATGTCTAAACCATGTCTAAACCAGGTCTAAAACAGGACTAAACCATGTCTAAACCAGGACTAAAACGGGATTTAAGCAAAAGCTGGACAAAACAGTTTAGTCAGACATTATGAAGCAGAGTGGAAATGTTCAAGAGACAGAAGAACCCATCTCTTCATTAAACCCTGAGCTGAAGTTCTCACCTGTAGGAAGTTGAAGGTGGTGGAGATTGTAAACTCCATCTCTTGATCTTTCATTTTGCGTGGATTCTTGGCGAAGTGGTCGATGATACAATGGGCCTGTTCTGGTGTTTGCAGCTCAACAAAACCCTGTAAAACATTTGGATAAGTTTGAAGATTTCACTTTAAAAAGATGTTAAAAGTTGGAGGTCCCAGACAACTGCATATTAAAGATTATAGAGATGAATACGCCATGTTCGTGACCTTCCATTTTTTACCTTTGTTACAAGCGAATATTCACATAGCACAGACAGTTTTAGTTTTCTTCTAACTGGAGATTAAATGTTTGTTTTTTTTTCTGAGCCCTCGTTTAGCCGCACCAGCCCCGGTCACGTCACACTCACCAGTGAAGGGAACATGGCCACGTGCACGATTTCCCCAAATTCTCCGATGAGTTCCCGGAGGTAGGTCTCGTCCACCGACTGCGGAGGGAACTTCACACAAACCACTTTGGCCGACTGCAACAAGCAACGAAAAACAAACAAAAAGAAGAGTCAGATGTGGGCTTCAGGAGGTGGAGCACGTGGTGTTTAAGAGTGCAGGAACTCAAAAGGTCATTTAGAGGAGAATTAAAAAAACTGAGGAGGAAGTTTACCTTTTTTGAAGTTGTGGTTGTTTCTTTCTCTGGAAAATAAAAAAAAATAAAAAGGATTTCTTTAAACACTGTGACAAAGGAGGGCAGGATGTAAAAGTACTGTTACTGCACAAACTAAAAAAAAAACATGGCTTTAAATAACTGCTGATTCACAATATTAACCAATACCAGTGTTGAGACTGAAAACAGCATTTATACCTTAAAAAAATAATAAAATAAAGACTAAAAACTGAAATGTGAATGTGTTATGTAGGTGTTATTTACCGTATTTTTTGGACTATAAGCCACACTTTTTTTTCATGGTTTGGGTGTTTTCTGTGACTTGTATGTTAAAATTTTCACACTGAAGCGGCGAGAGGTTCTAGTCTTAAGTGTGAGTATCTGCTGCTCCTGTTCCTCCTGTACCACTGTCACTTGGTTCTACTGCGCATGTCTCCTGCACAAAAAGCCTCTGTTCTGCTGCATGTTGTGAAATATGCAGCTGAAAACGGTAATCGAGCAGCAGAAAGAAAGTTTGGAGTGAGCGAGAAACTTGTGAGGGACTGGGGGAAAGTGAGGATGGAGAACACAGTTTCACGGGAACTGGGAGGATGCACCATGAAACTTTCCTGGAAGTCACTGGATGGATGGACAAAGCCTGGACTTCAGTGACACCAAAACCATCCTGTCGGGATTCAGAAAGGCCGGAATAATTCTAACTGGAACTGATGCTGAGTCTGACGACAGCGACACAGAAGAAGAAGCGGCGCTCTGTTTACCTCTGGAGGTCGCGGAGTTGCTCAGAAGTGACACCGAGGATGAAGAATTGAATGGATTTAGTGATTTGGAGTGAGATGGAGAGTTTGTTAAACTTGTTCTGTTGTTTATGTTATAGTTTATCTGAAGAACTGTTCATATGTGACGTTAACAGTCTGTTGTTCTCTCTTCTATTGTTTTTACTAGAACTTGACTCTCAAGATGAAATGTCTGTTCCTGGTCTCTGATTTTATAAAATAAATTTCCCCCAAAAAGTGTGACTTATATATGTTTTTCTTCTTCATTACGCACTTTTTGGCTGGTGTGACTTATACTCCGGAGCGACTTATAGACCGAAAAATACGCTATGTCCAAAATGTATGGTTTGAATTTTCCCAGGATTGTTGCGTCACAGGTAAAACCCCTGCAGCTTTTAAACATGGCCAATGACAATATAAATAATGAGACCTGTTTCTGAACTCCAAAGTAAAATAACTGCTCTTACTGTTACAACTTCCAATAAATACTCATTGAATTAAAAGTTCTTACTGGTCTTTTTTACTGGTTTCTTTTCCGTTTCCTTTGGCTGCTTTGAATCACTGTAAGAAAAAAAAGCTTTTAGTTTCAAGTTACATTTTTACATATTGAGATAAAATTGCAAAAACCTTACCTCTTGCAAGCAGAAGACAAACGACAGTCCCAACTTGGGAATCTATAAAGAGAACACAATATAATGTAGTGTAATGAATAAGAGTCAAACTAAGAGAAAACATTAACACTGGAATCAAACAAACCTCTGCATTAAAGTGAGCTGGCTGTCTGCATGTAGGGTGGAAGTGACGTGTTGAGTCCAGACCTAAGACCAAAAAGAACTCAAATTAAAGTCTATATTTTCATTATTAAAACATGAACTAAACTTCTCCTGAAATATTAAGCTTGAAGAACTAACTATGCATAAATGATGGTTGCATTAGTGTTGTCTGGTTAACTGCTGCTTCTGTGTGTGTCTTCAGCTATTTTTACAAATTTTATTTCACTTACAGTAAATTTATTCAGTGTAATTTGCTGTACTGTCTTCCCCAAATACGCATGTTAAAAACACATTGTAAACAGGTCAATAGGAGACATCTCAATAAATCATTCTGGGCCAATAAAACCACTAAAATATGTTTGAATCCAACCATCATAGAGCTTTTAACACTGTGTTTGTGTCTGGAGGAGGGATTTGTGTGAAATGCTGTAGAATTTCAGCTTAATAAGTAGAAATATAGTTTAACAATAAAAGAACTGCACAAAGTTTAATAGCTGAAGCCGTATATGGAAGAGTTTCCCCAAAGGTTGCTATGTTAACTATAGACTCCAACTCCAATCCAACTTTACATTAAAAATTGTTACCCTGTCTCTGTAACTGCTGCTGTGAGCTTCATCATCTTCGTTTTGGACTTAAAATATTCATATTAACCCACTATACATTATCCTGGTGTTTTTATTTTACTGTTTTGTTAGTAAATAAGTTTCTATTCCTAATGCGGAATTTGGCTCCAAATTTACCCCTATAACTGCCAGCCTTGGTGAGCTTCATTTGACTGGAGCTGAATGCTATGAGCGACATCACACTCCCTTAGTCCACTTCTTTCTGCAGTCTTTGGGTATAACACGACATACAATAAGAACAACTAAACCTGTGCAAGTCCGTCTCAGAACAGCTGTGTTTTTCTTTTCTTTATAATTATCAGACCATCTGAGTGTTTACAAAGCACTAGATCTAAGACTATCACCTCTCTCAACATCTACATATTGAACTGAGATTCATAATCGTCAGATTGAAAGAAAATACTGTAACAAGGGATGCAACGATATTCACTATAATATCGAATCGTTCGATACTGGTCTCACGATTCGAAACAAGTGTCGATACGCACGTGTCCATCCATGCGCGCTGTGTTGTCATTTATTTTGTCTGAGAGAGAAACAGTTAAGGCAGCGTCCTTCTCAGATGCGGCAGGAAAACAGCTCCATAGGGACTTACAGCTGAAATCTTCTAACAGAGGTGGGTTTTATATTTCAGTCACTTTTATAGATATTAACTTTTAAATACTTAACAATCGCTTTTGACTTTTCATCGACTTTAAATCAAATGCGCTTGTATTTATACGCGACTCATGATATACGTGATCTTTTTCTCAGACTGTCTGCTAAGTTTTACTCAGAAAACGGTCTATTGAGACATTTCTGTGTAATATAACATACTTTTGGTGTTCAGAAAGAGAATGGGAGAGCGCAGTGTGTCGCAGACTGTAGGGGGCAGTGTGGGAGGAGCTGCTGTGTCTCTGCTGGAGGACAGAGCAGCACAGACACAGGCGCAGACGCAGTGAGACTCAGGAGGAAAAGAAATCATCAAAAAAGGAAAAGTCTGATAGTGTAACTCTCTTACAGTCTATAATAAGAGTAGGCTATTATATAATTATATTATATAAAATAGTCTGAGAAAGTACGGTTCTTATTTTCATTGCAATGTACTGTATGTAATGTTTCTTTAACATCATAGTGTTATTATTTTGGACTCATTAGCAGAAAAAATTAAATGAGATTTTTTGTGTCTTGAAACGTATCGAAATTTAATCGATATCGTGACCCGTGTATCAAGATACGTATTGAATCGTGGGAAAACCATATCGTTGCATCCCTACTGTAACAGTGCGAGGTGTGGTTCGGTCGTTTGGTACTTACAAAGTCAGACAGTACGGTGATATCGCAGATAGAGCAGGAGTACGGGAAGGATTTAGGGCTCATCCCATGGAAGTCCCTGGCCTCAGTTTCCGATGGCATAGAGGCGAGTTTAACAGCTCCCAGTATGGGCGTGCGCTCCACAGATCGTCCGAACTCCTTTGATCCACGCGGCGTAAAGCCCGGAGAGGAACGCCGCGGTCGCTCCGGAGACGAGCGCGTGTCCTGAGCCGCCGCGCAGTGTCCGTACTCCACCACAAAGGAGGATCCACCGGGGGCAGCAGGGGGAAAATCTGCCTTTGACGGGCCAGGGTCATGATACAAGCTCAGTGATTGGTCCATATCTTGTCTAGGGGCGGGTCCTGCATACAGAGTCTTTGACTGATCGTAGTGTGGCATGGGGGTACGGCCTTAGGAAGAAACAAATGAAGAGAAAGTACAATGCCGTGTTGAGAAGTGCAGCGGACTTACCATACTTGACCTGAACTTAGTTACTGAACCCAAATCCTGGACAGGTTTAAGTTTTACCTGCTCGTTTACAGAGGTTTTACCATTGTACAGTTTTGTCCAATGGATATTTTTACTTTCGTCACCTTTTTCTCTTGAATGAGAAATCCAGATGTACGAAAAACAGAACTCTGCAGGCCTTCCTGAAAAGTCCTTCACTTTGTAAAAGTACTTTTCTTTTCCTTCCTAAATTGACCAAAATGTGTGTTTTGGAATGTTACCATTGACAATTATACTTTTTTTTTTAAGAGTACACTTTGCAATACTTGCCAAAAATGACTGGTATTGTCCAAAACCCACTTTCTTTGACATGAATCCATCAGCTCTGATCCCAGCAGAGTAGACAGATCCAGATGTGAGGTCTCCCAGCCTCTGCGCTCCGAGGGCGGTCAAAGAGTTTCCTTCTCCTTTGTGACAAACTTGCGGACTGACAGATTTTCAGTGATGTTGGTGTCCTGCCTGTGTACTGCACGTACAGGGGGAGGAACGTGGACCTTTATCCAGATGCACTTTGACAGGGGAATGCAATTCAAATCCATTTTACGTTTTTCTTATTCAACCATATTAAATCTGTGAGCTGGATCTTGGTTAGATCTCACCTGTAAAGTCCAACACTCCTGTGAAAATGACTGAAAAATGCATTACACTTCTGTGGAGAATGAGCAGTCTGAACACTATTTTTTTCTGACTTAATGGATCAGTTTTCCAATCACTGAGCCAGCAGAAATAAGCTAGAGTTTTCCTTTGTGAAAAAGAAATACATTACATTTGACAGTTTAAAAAAATGCTAAACCAACAATCTTAAAATGACTTTAATGGGCTCAACAAACGGGAAGCGAAGTCCTTACTTCTCCATTGATTTCCAGTGGGACCAGTCTAGAGATGTATATAAGGCTGATATTTGAGGTTTTTAGGGTATCAGCCTGAATATGCATAAAGGATATTTGCATAAGGCTCATTTGAACACCAAAAAGTTACTGCAGCTACTTTTGAGTTCATAGCAAAATGGTTGTGAATGCATTTGTACTGAATTCAAATTAGATAATTTGGTTAAAATTTCCACAATCGGCCCAACATATCGAGCTCTGCCATGGAAAAAAACACATTGGTTGATCTCTAGACTTGTCTAAGCTAAACTCTCTCTCAGCTCGGTGACAAGTAAAAATGTTGCTTGTGATATATTATGGAATGAAGCTGATTTTAGACTCCAGGTCTTGTTTTTCTTTTGTCACTACTCACTGTTGCCCCCGTGTGTCAAACCCATTTGACCCATCAGACCTCTGAGTGAGACACCACATGTTTTAGAACACGGTCTAACCAAAAAACACATCACACAAGAATAAATCAGGTCTATCAGTGCTAAACCAGGTCTAAGGACTTGGCTTTCATCAGCAGATCTATCCACTAACCTGAATTTGAAAAGGAGATTAGATTTTTTTTCAGTTTTGATTAACTGAACAGTCCGGGACATAACCCTGCGCCAACTATTGTGCAGCACAATGATAATAGTTTCCTTTGAGAAATAATAATCTAACCTCTAGGAGAAATAATAATCTAAATTTATCATCCACATGTTTAACTAATCCACTGATCTCACGTGCTCCTTCTGAGCATTTGTCGCCTCAGATGAAATGGGGGCCTTACCTGGGGGCAGGTATCCGGGCGGAGCTGGGTCCTTCTTTAGGCCTTTGATCTGTTTGAGGAGGAGGGGCAGAGACTTGAGTGTGAGTAAATCCTCTGGAAGCTCCGCCAAAGCAGACAGGTCCTCAGCGTCCAGACCACAGCTGCTCAGCACCCCCAGAGCGCCCTCTGCTGCTGCGGACAACTGAGGAGCAGGTGGGGGGCCCACGGACCAATCAGAGGGCTCGTGGGGATGTGGCGGCCAATCAGATTCAGGAGGGGGAGGATGAGGCGACCAGTCGTGTTCAGGGGGAGGTCTGTGGAGGGGAGGTCTGTGGAGGGGAGGTCTTTGGGGGGGAGGAGGTCTGTGGGGGGGGGAGGAGGTCTTTGGGGGGGAGGCCTGTGCGGGGCAGATCTGTGGGAGGGAGACAACAAAGTCTATTGGTCATTTTCACAAAGTGGGATTTTTAAAACTCCAATTTGACCAAAGAGACATCAAAGCCCTTTTTCTACAGGCTCGGTATGACATATTCACTCCCTTAGTCCACTGTTTATACAGTCTATGTGTAGGATAACTGCAGCGCTGCTCTCACCTTACTCCCCAGGGCGAGTCGGCTCCAGGCGGGTGGGATCCAGGAGGGGGCCCTCTGAACATCCTGCCTCCTCGCTCTGCGCCCGGGGCCATGCCGCGGGCAAACGGGCGCCGGTCTGTGTCCACAGGGGGCGGTCTGAAGCGGTGGGACATGACTGCTCTTATAAGGCGGTGTCACAAAGAACGCTGGTTCAATCTGGAAGAAAATATGGGAAACCTATTGTTACTACATGTTATAGTGTAAGCAGATTTGTTACAGTTGTACTTGTAGTATTATGCAGCATTAATATTAGTATGTAGTAGTAGTATGTTGTATTATTTCACTGAATCAATTTCCATCCATAGACTTCTTAAGAGAAATTATCCATTGTGCTCTGACTATATTCCAGTGCATGTTCTCTAACCCAAAAGGTGGAGGTAGGTTACGGTACACTTTTTTGTCTGTGTCCCCCTAGGGAAATTTGTCCTCTGCATTTGACCCGTCCTTCAGTCCCACTGAGGCATCTACTCAGGAGCAGTGAGCGCACCGTCCCGTGCACAAGGACCCATCTCCAGGTCTAGCTGGATTTGACCTACACTGCATGGTTTGGGTTGAAGGAGGAACCCTTAGGGCCCCTTTGAAAGGATTTGTTGATATTCAGTTCATAGTCTAATTTCTGGGATTAAAACTTCAAACAGTGAGGCAAAAACTAAATGCAAAACTTTTTTTTTTGTTTTTTTTATGTTTATTAAGGACATCACAATTGCATTAGACAAGCCAGATGCATTGCTTTGAGTGTTTTAGCACAAGTTCTAGTTTTCAACACTTGTCCATATAAAAATATAAACCAAGTGCATAAAAACAAACAAGACAAAACAGATGAGTTACATACAGATAAAATATATACAGTACATTTTCCATGGAAGCATTTTTGATTGGACTGATTGGATTGATATTGTTTTTCAACAACGTCTACTTTTCTCAAAACACTGACGTTAAATACAACATCCAACAATTCAAGAGAATCAAAAGTCAAAAGTCACGAACCATAAATTATGCGCCTGATTCTAGCCATTCTTCAGATATTTGCACAGGAAACTGCTCCAGTCTGGAGCATCTTTGCACATAAAATGTCTCATTCATTCCATATGAAACCATTAAAGAGGGGGTATGTTTTGAAAATGCTTTATGTTATATGTTATCAGTTAATAGCCCACAGAAGTGTAATAACCCCCTCCTCTGAATGCTCTTTAGGGCCAGTGTGAGGGTTGGGGTTATGAATTTACTTTTACTTTAGGAACACTGCAGGCCCCCGTCAGTCTGATGATTTCTCAACATCAGGCCAAACAAACCTGATCGCCCCTTTAACCAAAACACCGTGTAAAACAAAGCATTTGATATAAAACCGGATCCTGCAGCTTTGATCAAGTCTGTCCAGTCTGCGTCTCTCTCAAAGCTAATGTTGCTAAATGCTAAACACGCCGTCAATAAAAGCAGATAATCTCATGCAATAAATGTACCTGGATCTACTGTGTCGGTTTAGAGCACAGACAGACGAGCCGCAGCTCCATGCGACAGATGAGAGATTTAGAGAGGCGATAATCGAAGAATATGGTGAAAGAGAAGGCTGTTTGCAGACGCGCAACTAACACATTAGCAACGCTAGCTGTTAGCTTCCAGGAAAGACAGTGAACGGAGCATCGCCACCAACCGGCCAGGAGGAGAACTACAACCTGAATAAAAAAATAAAATTAACTATTGATCATTGATAAACTCCAGTGGAAAAGAGAAACAGTAATCACTTGTTAATAATTAGTATTGATGGGTTTGGACCTCTGAACGTCACTGTAGAATCTTCATTCCATTTTTAATCATAAATACAATTGAGATGTTGTCATGTGCTCACAGTAGGTCGAGTGTCCCATCCCCAGTGTTGTGAAGGTGACTTTTAAAATGTATTCCCCTACAGATTACAGATTACACACACCAAAATGTAGTTTCTAACGTAATCCTTTAAATTACTTAAAGTGAGTACCGTAATCTGATTACTTTGGATTACTTGATTTGCTGTAGAGAACCAAAGACTAGAATATCGTAACATAAGATGTTTTGTCTGATAAAAGAAAATGAAAAGCCCAGACTTTACTTAAACAAATTAAAAATATTATTGATAGAAGAGGAGGAGACACGGTCCACGCAGCATGATTTAGTCCTGTTAAATCTTGTTTTAGACCTGGTTTAGACCTGGTTTTAGTCCTGCTTTAGTCCTGGTTTAGACTTGGTTTAGACTTGGTTTAGGCCTGGTTTAGACCTGGTTTTAGTCCTGGTTTAGTCCAAAATGTGAAAACAAGAAAATAGCGCCGTGTAATCCATTTCTTTCAACCAAGTAAATGTAATCCAATTACCACTCATGGAAACAGTAACTGTAACTGAATACAGTTACTCATAATTTGTACTCTGATTACGTAACTCCGGTACATGTAATCTGTTACTCCCCAACACTGCCCATCTCCTGTGATAAGGTGTAGACCAGGAAAATCTGGCAATTACAAGAGACAAAACCACATTATGGACTGGAACCATGGTTTTCTGTGCTGAAAGAAACAAACACCAGCGCTGGATTCGAGAGACCAAACAAGGTCCATAAATGAAGTCCAAGGAGCATGAACCGAGACGAGGGAGTGTACACCCTATCACACGAGCTACAGTCCTGGAGAGGGCGTTAATCAGACAGTAGGGGGCGTAATCTTCACCTACTGTCTGACAAAACCAAGTAAAGCAGATTTTAAGACACGTCACGCTTCTGAAGAAAGCAGGTAAACAAACCTTCTTGTCTGACACAAAAAAAATTAACTCGTTGATTCTAATGTGTCTATCCAGGCCGAGCTGTCATCGTTCAAATCATGGTTCAACTTTACACATTTGAACTTGGCTGAAAGGAATAATCACCAAATATAATCTGCATATTTCCCTGTGCTGACACAAGGGGGCACTGTTGTTTGGTGTATGGGGTTAGCCTTCAGGTACAAGCAGGACTAAACCAGAACTGAGCCAGGACTAAATCAGGACTAAACGGACTAAACCAGGACTGAACCAGGACTAAACCAGGACTAAACCAAGAGTAAACCAGGACTTAAACAGTACTAAACCAGGACTAAACCAGGACTGAACCAGGACTAAATCAGGACTGAACCAGGATTACAACAAAACTAAAATTAAACTAAACCAGGAGTAAACCAGGATTTAAATAATACTAAACCAAGACTGAACAAGGACTGAACCAGGACTGGACCAGGATTAAACCAAAACTAAAACTAAAACTAAACCAGGACTAAAACAGTACTAAACCAAGACTAAAACTGTACTAAACCAGGTCTAACCCAGGACTAAACCAAAACTGATCCAGGATTAAACCAGAACTAAACTAGGAGAATACCAGGACTAAAACAGTGTTAAACCAGGACTAAACCAGGTCTAAACCAGGACTAAACCAGGACTAAACCAGGACTGAACCAGTATTAAAACAAACCTAAACCAAAACTAAACCAGGAGTAAACCAGGACTTAAACAAAACTAAACCAGGAATAAAACAGCACTTAAACCAGTTAGATTATTCCTTAATAAAAACAAACAACATTTTATTTCTGGTCATTTTTAAAATTTATTTTTTTACAAAAAAGTGTCACATTTTCCCGCCACATGCTGCAGGATTCACTCACCCGACGTTTAAAGAGGAGGTATTTTACTTCTGTGGGGCATAAACATATTTAAATCATCACGTTACCTTTTATTATTGTTTTAAAAATGCTATAGTCGCCCAAAAACAACATAGGAACATGCTTTATAACTTTCCCTTCTTTCATTTCTCCTCTTACTTTGCTCTCTGTGCTAAGTCGCACCCCTTCAGAGCACCATCACAACGCAAATCTCCGGGCACAGTCTTCCCCGCTACTGCACATCGCATCAGGTTTGTGAAGTCGTAGCGTACGGTTTTGTATCGTGTGTTTTTTGTATATTTTACAGTTAAACGTAAAGAAGGTTTAAATCGGACCCGGGAGAGATCTCTAGATTGCTCAAACATGCATGGATGACGTCTAAAACCTCTTCAGGCAAGTTTTTTGTTAATGTTACAACATGGTAGAAAGTAAAAAACAAAACAAAACTTTGCATAATACCCCCTCTTTAAAAACACACCTCTAATCAAAGCATTTTATACAGAAATACGACACTGTTTGGGTAAAGACAAACAAGGAAATACGTGAACTCAAAAATATTCTTTGGCTTAAAATGGCACACCTTCAGATCCCTTTTTCGACGACTACATACGATGCACTTCATGTTCACCCTAAACTAGGACTTAAACCAGGACTAAACCAGGACTAAAGAAGGACTAAACACGGACCGGACCGGGTCTTAAAGAAATGCTGAGGTCTGAAGCGCGATGCTCCTCCCGTGGCTTCATTGTGGTGATGTTGTTTACCGGTGATGTTTGGGGGTTTTTTTTGTTCGTTTACTTGCTGCGTGGCATTTTCTGGCTGGAGCGGCTCTGGACCACCCTCTTGAACAGCTCCTCTGAAAAAAATCAAATACAAAAATGGCAAAATCAGCAAGTATTTTCTCACGTTATAAAGGTTTCTTTCAGTTACTTTTGTTTAACATTTTGCTTTCTTGACCTGATCTGAGATAAACATGTTCGAACCAAACACAGCTTTTACTGATCCCGTGTAGTTCTAGGCGGATTTCTCGCTGTCCTCATGATCACTGAAACCCAACGAGGTGAGATCATTTTGTATTTCTTCAATTTTCCAACAATTTCACCAACAGTTGTCTCCTGAACACCGCTGCCCCGCAAAGGCAAAACACCTTAACTCGGCAAAGTGTGAAACTGAGAAAAATGACTTCAAAGTTTCATCCAGACAAAAGTAGAATAGGTAAGGTTCCCAAAATTTGACAAGTCGTTGCTATAATGAGGAAATATTTGCATGTCAAAAATGTTGAGCTCAAAATGGACCTTTTCCTGTTCTCTGCTTTTGTATCATGAGCCAAAAATAAGGAGTAAGACAAAAGGCAGAAACTGACATGATCATTATTTGCTTGATTTTCCCCAGACTTCCATCCATTAGAAGAAAAACACCTCACCAAGCTCGAGTCATCACGGTGTTTGTTTGAAATCATCTAGAAGAGCTTTGGGTTTCCTGTTTAGTGCTGCTCAGGATCGTGCAGCAACACTTAGACAGTTAAACAGTTTGACACACTTACTTTGCCGTATAATGTTTACAGAATGAATAAATACACCAAAGGAGGCGAGAGGTTGGATTTTAAAATAAAATATATTTAACTAAATCACGAACAAAACATATACTGTTGCTGCTTTTTGCCTTAGCACGACTCAGTGACAGAAACTGCCAAATAAGGGTCAAAGGGCAATTTTGAGCTCAAGATTTTTCACGATATTTATTCACATGAAAAAGGAGGTCTCAGATACCCCCAAAATGACATGAACTCATTTTTGACCAAATATGTTACGACGTTCTGCTTTTGTAGGTCAGACCAGCTTCTTGCTTATGTTGTTGTAGCCCGTTCCAGCCTTGTGCAGGTCTACAGTCTTGTCCCTGATGTCCTCTGACCGCTCTTTGGTCTTTCCCTTGTTGGAGAGTTTGGAGTCTGTCTTTTATACAGGTGACTAGTTAAAACAGGAGTCTAATTCAGGTGGCGAGTTGATTAGGAGAGTTTAACCGATCTGTGGGAGCCAGAACTCTTAAAGGTTCGTAGGGGATGAAATAGTTATTTCACACAATGAAATGCAAATTAATTAATATATTGTATTTTCTATAATGTGATTTTCTCAAGGAGCTGAGCCAAAAGGCAAAGCTCATGATTTATCAACCTACGTTCCTCCCCTCACCTCTGGTCATGAGCTTTGGCTTTGACCGAAAGGACAAGATCACAGATACAAGAGGTAGAAATGAGTTTCCTCCGCAGGGTGGCTGGGTGCTCCCTTAGAGACAGGGTGAGCAGCTCAGTCACACGGGAGGAGCTCGGAGTAGAGCCGCTGCTCCTCCACGTCGAGAGGAGCAGCTGAGGCTCGGGCATCTGCTCCAGTTGCCTCCTGGGCGTCTCCCTCGGGAGGTGTTCCGGGCATGTCCCACCAGGAGGAGGCCCCGGGGAAGACCCAGGACACACTGGAGGGACTATGTCTCTGGTCCAGCCTGGGAATGTCTTGGGGTCCCCTCGGAGGAGCTGGAGGAAGTGTTCGGGGTGAAGGAAGTCTGGGCCTCCCTGCTTAGACTGATGTCCCCGCGACCCAGCCCCAGATAAGAGGAAGAAAATTGATGGATGGATGGTGATTTTCTGGGTTTTCTTTTTGATAATCTATCTTTCAATGTTAAAATAAACCCACCATTAAAATTATAGACTCATGAGATGCTCATTTCTTTGTCAGTGGGAAAACCTACTAAATCAGCAAAGGATCAAATACTTTCCTTCACTGTATACTCAGGTTCAGCTGTGATTATAGTACGGTCTGTGTACCAGACACGTTAAGCCTGGATTTCAGAAAATAAGCATCATACTTAATGCATAAAAGAGGAACAAATTGTTGACGATGCTTCATTCCAAACAGTTGTCCATGTCACGTGTCTGTCCAGTGAAAAAGTTCACGTGTCTGTGCGTGTAACAAACAGATTTCTGAGCTCACCTTTACTGAGGCGTCTGGAGTCCAGCTGAAAGAGACGGGACACAGTTCAGTCAAGTGTGTGTTTATCAAGGTGAAATGGGGCAAAACAAACAACTTTAATTGAAGAAAGAGACTAATCTGTTTCTATTTCTGTTTTCAGACGGAGGAGAGTCTTACCCTGACGGAGGACAGGGACCTCAGAGCTGCAGAAGGACCGTCGGACTGTTCTCTCTCCACTTTAGGAGCTGACGACACAGAGACAGTCACGTAAATATGGGCAAATAATCAATACATAATAAGTAGTAGTAGTAGTAGTAGTAGTAGTAGTAGTAGTAGTAGTAGTAGTACTCACGTAGTGGTTTGATGACGCGGTTCACTGCGTGCACGACTCCGTTGGTCGCCATCAGATCTGCGTCCTGCACTGGGACTCTGTTCACGTACACTGTGTAGTTACGCTGAAACAACACGAACATGTCATCGGGTTTAGTCCTAGTTTAGTCCTGGTTTAGTCTTGGTTTAGTTCTGGTTTATCCCTGCTTTAGTTCTGGTTTAGTGCTGTTTTAGCCTTGGTGTAGTCCTGGTTGAGCCCTGGTGTGGACCTGGTTTAGTCCCGGTTTAGTCTTGGTTTAGTCCTAGCCCAGTCCTAGTTTAACCCTGGTCAAGTCCTTGTTTAGTACTGGTTTAGTCCTGGTTTAACCCTGGTTTAATCATGTTTTAGCCTAGTTTAGTCTTGCTTTAGCCCTGTTTCGCTCTGTTTTAGTCCTGTTTTAGTCTTGCTGTAGTCCTGGTTTAGCCCTGGTTTAGACCTGCTTTAGTCCTGGTTTAGTCCTAGCCCAGTCCTAGCCCAGGCCTAGGTTAGTCCTGGTTAAATCCTTGTGTTTTACCCCTAGTTTAGTCCTACTTTAGTCCTGTTTTTGCCCTGCTTTAGACTTTGTTTTGTTCCGGTTTAGACCTGTTTTAGTCCTGTTTTAGCCTTGGTGTAGTCCTGGTTTAGCCCTGGTTTAATCATGTTTTAGGTCTAGTTTAATCTGGCTTCAGTCCTGTTTTCACCCTGTTTTAGACTTTGTTTAGTTCTGGTTTAGACCTGTTTTAGACTTGGTTTAGTTCTGGTTTAGTCCTGGTTTAGTTCCACACTCACCACTCCCAGCTCCAGCTTGTCTCCCTGCAGCGGCTGGACCCTGGTGTGAGAGCTGACCCCTCCACTGACCAGCAGACCCTCCCCCAGGTGGAACTTCAGCAGCCTGGACAGCTCTGTACTGCTCCCTGTGGAGAGACACGATTTAGACCTGGTTTAGACCTAGTTTAGTCCTGGTTTAGTCCTAGTTTAGACCTGGTTTAATCCTGGTGAGGGTCCTACTTGTGACATTATACAGACAGAACTACTACAGTACACATTATTAGTTGTTATAATGTTTCCTCCTCATGAACAGACCTGGAGTTGTGTTTTGTTTCATTCACATGTTTGAGTAACTCTTTATTATTAGTCTGTCTACATCTCCACAACTCAAAATCCTCTGTTCCACCTAATGATGTCATGAAGTTTTACCCTTTTTACCCTTTGTTCAGTGGAATTAGGCAATTCCAGGAATTAATTTTTCCAAATAAGGGCTTGTTTACACAAGAATGCTTGCGGGTAAATGACAAAATATTTTTATCGGAAGTGCCTTTCGTTTAGATGGTGACGGCGTTTTTGGGGCTTAAAAACGCAAAAATCTGAAACCACCTCCAGAGTGGAAAAGTTGAATACACTCTGCCGTAGTGTTTCCGTCTACACTGCCCAAGACGCAGAACTCTGGTCAGATCTGCTCATGTTGTGTACACACAGTACACAGAAACAAACATGTCAGATCATTTCCATGCATCGGTTCTAATAAACTTACAGGAGGCATCCCAACAAATGTACAGAATATGCACAGATACAATTAGTGAACAGAGAAGGATCTGGCATGCAAACCCAACTGAATTCCACACACTTTTGCATCATCGTGTGTGCGCGGATTTCCTCCTGAAAACACTCCTCTAAACGCAGAATTAAAAGTGAAGAAGCTATGCCACTTTTGCATCTTTTGTTCAGACCATCATCATATAAACGTAGCTTAAATTAAAAACACAGTGGAGCACTTCCTGTACTACCACATGGCATCACAAGGTGGAACAGCGTGTTTTCTGTCTGAGAGAAGATCTCAGCCTAAATCTGCAGAGTTTGTGTGTTAAATATGAGAATGAAACAAAATATAACTCCAGATTTGCCCCGATGAAGGCCGAAGCACTGAAACACATCGGCGTGATTTTAACTTTATCTGCCATGTGGTATTAAAGGCTTTTAATTATTTTGTACTTTTTGAGAGCCTCAGCTTTTTCAATTTGTATTTGAGACTGGTCCTTACACTGAAGAGCACCAAAAGGACAATTTTGCACATTCTCTTTACATCCAAGTAGCACTCCTGCCCCCTAAAGTTTTGCACAACTCCAGGTCTGTTTGTGATGAGAAAGCAACATTTTACCATGGATCTTTAATAGTGGGCCTGTAACAATAGTCAATTAACCGCACAGTAATGTTTAATGAGCTGGATAACTTTTCTGGCTGCAATAATTTCTATTTGCATGCTTGTTTATTTTCCTCATCTCTCTCTCTCTACGAAAGAGTCTGAATGTCAAAAGGCTTCTATTGCTGATATACCTGACCTACCTAACAATGTTAGATACCAACATGTTAGATATTTATTCAAAATCCTTTGTGCCTGTGCAAAAAAGGCAATTGCACGTAAATGGCTTCAACCAGATCCACCTACACTAAAGACTGGTTAAAAATTATTGATGAAACTCATAAAATGGAACATCTGACATACATGCTAAGGCTTCAAGCTGATGTTTATTATGCAAGATGGGCTAAATGGGCAAAATATTGTAGTGAGGTTTGGTTAAGTTAGCGCTGCTCCAGCTATGTTCCAATAAAACAAAAACATTCCAGGGTAACATGTATGAGTGATGTGTGTACATATGTATATATGGATGTATATGCACATGTGTATATATTATATATGTATATTTTTCCATCTAAATGTATGTTAAATTCCTTGCCGACTGTGCCTGTTTTGTTATGGTATTGTTATTGTATAAAATACTTAATAAAAATTAAGTGACAAAAAAAACAAAAGGCTTCTATCTCTCTCTGACTCCTCTCGCCTCCTTAGAGTAATGACGCTTGAACCAACATGTCAGCATAGACCATGGGGCATAGTGTTTTTAGGATTATTCTAGGGTTATTTATCTATCATCACAGTGAATGCACACGCAGCTCGAGTCCAGAAAGCGCCACTGTCTAAGCTGTTAACATGAAGCCACAAAGCGCCGCCGTCAGAACCAAAACAGTTCATCACCGTGATGACGCCAAATCAACTGTAGTGAATGGGAGCATCAAATGCACAACAAGAAGAAATGGCTCAAACCCCAGCAGTCGACATACACTTATACCTGGTCGACACAACTTGCCTAGTCCTAGAGAAAACCCAAAATCCAGTGAAATCCCACAAGACACCAACATGACACCAGACAGGACAGCGGCTCTTTCTGCAGGAGACATGTGCAGCATGTAATGAAAATCCCTGTATTAAAAAGTGGACTAAGCGAGCAGCCAGTCTCTATATATAAACATGATTTTATAGGGGTGCCAAATTATTGCGTGAATTGCAATTAATTAATTACAGTCATATTTAGCGTGTTATGTTTTTTAATCGCGTTAATCTCATTTTTAATCTCTAAATTTACTGTTTCTGTACGCGAGTTGCTTTATTATAAAATCTGTTTCTATGTGTTGTACTGCACTGTGCAGTCCTGCTCCGCTCGCTCCTGCAAGGAATTGTAGCCTAATTTTCATTCCCGTTCTCGTCCGCATCTGTGCATAAACCTGCACATGTCTGATCTCTGAAAACATCACGACACAAACACAGAACAGACTCACCATCATCATCAACATCCCTCTGTCACAGAAAGAACATCTATATTCCACTGAGTCGTGTCCTTTAGTCCGACAGAAGCTGAACAGCATCAGCGCAAAAGAACTGTTTTTTTTTTTTTTCCTTTTCTCCACTTAGTTTATGCAAATGAGCCATGCAGTTTTAAGTTTAGTTTGTGTGAGACTTGAGCAAAGATGCATTAAACACATTATAATGTCAAACGGGCTGATGTGGCTCTAGAGTGTTTATGGTTTATATGTTGTAAAGTTGAGTTTATATATGCAGATTAGTAACAGTAATAATAATAATGATACTTATATGAAAACGTTAATGAGTGTGAAAATAATGTAATAATGAATTCAAATGAAAATACCTGAAGTTGAGGCTTTTCAGCAATTTTTAGGTGAGATTTAAAAAGAGATGAATTAGATTAAGTAATTACAGATCATAATTAATTAATCTCTAAATTTTTTTAATCACTTGACAGCACTACCTGAAATCCCACAAAATACCGACACGACACCAGACAGGACAGCGGCTCTTTCTGCAGGAGACATGTGCGGCGCGTAATGATAATCCCTGTGTTAAAAAGTGGACTAAGCGAGGAGCCAGTCTCTATATATAAATATGATTTTCTGACGGACAAAATAGTGGAATAGGATCCTGTGTCGCGGATTAATACAAACACTTCAAGACCAAAATGCCGAGACTCACAGCAGCAGCCACAGAGAGAGAGAAGAGCCACAATACTCCATTGTCAATGACTAAAATAACTTTTTACACAGACAAATTTTTTAACAAGTCCTTTCTGTCAGCCAGACTACATTAGGCTATTCTTATGTTAACAAGTCTATTTTATTTAGGTCTATTGTTTTTGGTTTTGTCTTGCAGTTTCTGTGTTAAATGTTCTTTAGAAAGTAAAGTTTATTGATCTTTGAAAGGGTGTATTTGCATTTTTATTCATTACATTAGTTGAAAATAGTCTCAAAATGTCAGTATTATCGTTCATCGCAATCATTTCTTGGTCACTTAATCGTCCAGCAAAATCTGTTATCGTTACAGGCCTATTTAATAGACAAAACATCAGGTATTTTAGTTGCTATGCGTGAAAACTGCAAACAACGTTCAGTTTTCTGGCTCGGGAACTACATGATGTGTGTACTTTTCATGCTCTTCTCCCACATTTTATAACATCTCTTGGTCTCGCGTTCGCAATCATCCAAACACGGCATAAATGAAAAACCACTTTGTCGGACAGATTATAAACTAAAGGACATACTCTCGTCCCTCGGTCATGGTTCTAATAAACAGCGCTCAGCTCGGAGCTCCATCTACGGCGGAGACTGTTGATAAATAATAAAGAGTGTTTGGCTCCAGTCCAATGAAGCTCATCGAAGCCGCGGAAATAAGAGCGAATTTGGATCATGAAGAGTCGATCGAGCCGGGAGAGTCTCCATTTCCACTCAAGATTTGGTCATTTTTGTGTACACACCATGATCTACAGTAGGATGTGTTGATGTTTTTAGAGTGAGTGTGATCAGAAGCATCAACACAACAGAAGAAGTAACTCAAGTGTTAGTACTTGTAGTTTTTGTGGTGTTTTGTTATTTCATTTTGGATACAGGGTCTATAGATGCAACAAGAATCTCAGACTTCCGGTCATTGCGCAATTCATACTGGGAAGGATTTTACGAAAAAGTGAGCATCAAACCGTGATGTTTGATTTCCCAGTGGGATGCGTCTGTTAACAAAGTCGATCTTTTCAAGTCTTTTGAACCATATCACTTTTGTTTCTGGTTCTGATATTGTCATATTTTAGTTTTGGGATTCGGACATCGTAATTGTGTGGTTGTTGGATCCTAACAGAGGAAAACGACTTGAGAAATTTGTTTGCGAACTTCATAAATGCAAAAGGGAATCAGATGTGTGTGACTCAAACCTCTATTCAAACTGTTTCTCTTCCCAACGGAATTGAAAAATAGTGAAAGGTGAAGGCGATGGGCAGGACTGATCCACAGGAAGGACCAAAAAGGAAACCTTTGACTGCCTAAGAAATCATCCCAAGTTTGCAGTGAACATTTTGTATGTGGAGCGTCAACAAAGTAAAATCCCGTTTGTTAATCGAGAGGTTCAGAAGACAAACAGACTGAGCTGCACTTTCTTGTTCTTGTGGTTTTACAGCAACATCACGTCTTGGTCTCTTTGCAGTGGAAGGTGTTTCTTGGTGAACAGTTGGTGCCTTTCGCTTTGGCGTTGACTTTTTAAATTCGTAACCAAGATTGAGCGAGGGATCGGGATTTTACTTTGTTATTGCTCCACATACAAAATGTTCTCTGCAAACTCGGGATGATTTAGGGAGTCAAAGGTTTTCTTTTTGGTGCTTCCTGTGGATCAGTCCTGCCCATCACCTTCACCTTTCACTATTTTTCAATTCTGTTGGGAAACAGTTTGAATGGAGGTTTACAGTCACACACATCTAATTCCCTTTTGCATTTATTGAGTTCGCAAACAAATTTCTCGAGCCGTTTTCCGCTGTTAGGATCCAACAAACACACAATTAACAATGTTCGAATCCCAAAACTAAAATATGACAATATCAGAACCAGAAACAAAAACGATATGGTTCAAAAGACTTGAAAAGATCGACTTTGTTAATAGACACATCCCACTGGGAAAACAGACATGGCGGTTTGATGCTCACTTTTTCAGAAAATCCTTCCCAGTATGAATTGCGCAATGACCGGATGTCCGAGATTCTTGATGCGTGTATTCTAATCACAAACCAGAAAGACATTTGGAAAGATGCGATGACAACTTCTCAACTCTTCAAAGTTCTGTGTATAGGGAAGGCTTGCGGACACAGAAATTACGTGTCTGGACGTAAATTGTTTACGATACAGTGATATGGTGATTCAATATGGTGCCTCGTCTCTGCATGTACCCAGTGAAGTTGTGTGTCAGTGGGGAAATGATAAAAACTGAGGTGTGGTTGTAATTGTTGATGAGCCAAATATAATGGAACGCTACAATGACATTTAGATGAAGAAAACTGGGACATTTTCTCATTTTTCCTAGATTTTGTCAGATTTACTACCGTAAACAGACCTCGACGGAAGTTGTCATCTCATGTTTCCAAACGTCTTCCTGGTTTGTGACGTAAACGTGAATAGAGTCTATTGTAAATAAGACCTGCTCTCTGATTGGTCTTTCCCTTCTGACTCCTACTCTCTAATTGGTCCCTCCCTCCTGCTCTCTGATTGGCCCCTCCCTTCTGACTCCTGCTCTCTGATTGGCCCCTCCCTCCTGCTCTCTGATTGGTCTTTCCCTTCTGACTCCTGCTCTCTGATTGGCCCCTCCCTTCTGACTCCTGCTCTCTGATTGGCCCCTCCCTTCTGACTCCTGCTCTCTGATTGGCCCCTCCCTCCTCCCTCCTGCTCTGATTGGCCCCTCCCTTCTGACTCCTGCTCTCTGATTGGTCCCTCCCTCCTGCTCTCTGATTGGTCCCTCCCTTCTGACTCCTGCTCTCTGATTGGCCCCTCCCTTCTGACTCCTGCTCTCTGATTGGCCCCTCCCTTCTACTACTGCTCTCTGATTGGCCCCTCCATCCTGATTCCTGCTCTCTGATTGGTCCCTCCCTCCTGCTCTCTGATTGGCCCCTCCCTTCTGACTCCTGCTCTCTGATTGGCCCCTCCCTTCTGACTCCTGCTCTGTGATTGGCCCCTCCCTTCTGACTCCTGCTCTCTGATTGGCCCCTCCCTTCTCCCTCCTGCTCTCTGATTGGCCCCTCCCTTCTGACTCCTGCTCTCTGATTGGCCCCTCCCTCCTCCCTCCTGCTCTCTGATTGGCCCCTCCCTTCTGATTCCTGCTCTCTGATTGGTCCCTCCATCCTGATTCCTGCTCTCTGATTGGTCTCCCTCCTGCTCTCTGATTGGTCCCTCCCTCCTGATTCCTGCTCTCTGATTGGTCCCTCCCTCCTGACTCCTGCTCTCTGATTGGCCCCTCCCTCCGGACTCCTGCTCTCTGATTGGTCCCTCCCTCCTGACTCCTGCTCTCTCTGATTGGCCCCTTCCTCCGGACTCCTGCTCTCTGATTGGTCACTCACTCATGAGTCGGGTCCTCTCGGCCGTGGGGATGGAGTTGAAGGCGTCGTTGGTGGGAGCGAAGAAGGTGAGCGCCCCCTGTTGGTTCAGCAGCTCAGTCATGCCGGCAGTCTGCAGCGCCCCCACCAGCATACTGAAGGAAACACACACACACGGACAAACACAAGATTTACAAACAAAGCTCTGGGTTCGACGAGGATTAAACGGCTTTACAGTAGACCTGGTTTACTGGTTACTTAGATCGAGTTTGTTCATTTGCTGTTTTTAACGTCATACCGAGGGGTTTTTACCAACTAAGAAGTTTAGGTTCCTGGTTAAGTCCTGGATATGGTTTAGTTTAGTCCTTATCCAGTCCTGGTTTATTCCTGGTTTAAGTCCTGGTTTAAGTCATGTTTTAGGTCTAGTTTAGTCCTTCTTCAGTCCTGGTTTAATCCTTATTCAGTCCTGGTTTAAGTCCTGGTTTATGTCTAGTTTAGTCCTTATCCAATCCTGGTTTAAATCCTGTTTTAGGTCTAGTTTAGTCCTTATTCAGTCCTGGTTTATTCCAGGTTTAAGTTGTGGTTTAAGTCCTGGCTCAAGTCCTGGTTTAGGTCTGGTTCAGTCCTTTTTCAGTCCTGGTTTAAATCATGGTTTTGGTCTATGTTAGCCCTTATTCAGTCCTGGTTTAGTCCAGATTCAGTCCTGGAGTAATCCTCATTTAAGTCCTGGTTTAGGTCTAGTTTAGTCTTTATTCAGTCCTGGTTTAAATCCTGGTTTTGGTCTAGTTTAGTCCTTATCCAGTCCTAGATTATGTCCTGGTTAAGGTCTATTTTAGCCCTTATTCAGTCCTGGTTTAGTTTTGGTGTAATCCTGGTTTAAATCCTGTTTTAGGTCTAGTATAGTCCTGGTTTAGTCTTTGTTTAGTCCTGGTTTAGTCCTGGGTTAAGTTCTGGTTTATGTCCTTATCCAGTCCTGGTTTAGTCCTGGTTTTGGTCTATCTTAGTCCTTATTCAGTCCTGGATTAAGTCCTGTTTTAGACCTAGTTTAGTCTTTATTCAGTCCTGGTTTAGTCCTGGTTTATTCCTGGTTTAGTCCTTGTTTAGTCCTGATTTAGTCCTGTTTTAGTCCTTGTTTAATCCTGATTTGGTCCTGGTTTAGTCCTGGTTTTGGTCTATCTTAGTCCTTATTCAGTCCTGGATTAAGTCCTGTTTTAGACCTAGTTTAGTCTTTATTCAGTCCTGGTTTAGTCCTGGTTTATTCCTGGTTTAGTCCTTGTTTAGTCCTGATTTAGTCCTGGTTTAGTCCTTGTTTAATCCTGATTTAGTCCTGGTTTAGTCCTGATTTAGTCCTGGTTTAGTCCTTGTTTAATCCTGATTTAGTCCTGGTTTAGTCCTGATTTAGTCCTGGTTTAGTCCTGGTTTAGTCCTTGTTTAGTCCTGGTTTAGTCCTTGTTTAATCCTGGTTTAGTCCTGGTTTAGTCCTTGTATAGTCCTGCTTTAGACCTAGTTTAGTCCTGGTTTAGTCCTGGTTTAGTCCTTGTATAGTCCTGCTTTAGACCTAGTTTAGTCCTGGTTTAGACCTGGTTTAGTCCTTGTTTAGTCCTGGTTTAGTCCTTGTTTAATCCTGATTTAGTCCTGGTTTAGTCCTGGTTTAGTCCTGATTTAGTCCTGGTTTAGTCCTTGTATAGTCCTGCTTTAGACCTAGTTTAGTCCTGGTTTAGTCCAGGTATAAATCCCGGTTTCTTGGCCCCACGGTTGTCGTAGTTTTTTTCGGTTAATGTCTTTCCCAGATCGTCTGTAATCTTTTCACAGCGGCTCCATTTCACTCTATTTCATTTTTTATTTCACTTCACTGTCAAAAATAATACTTAAGGGATTTGTCGATAAAAGAGCTGCGAACGGTGCGGAGATTCTGAAGCATTTGGAGGAAAGCGCAGACGTTTCCACACAGGAGCGCTTGTCTTGGCCCTGAACTAAACCATAATAACGGGATAGGATGGGCCCGCGTGTAATAAAAAGTCTGTATTTATTTCATGTTTATAATAACACTGTTGGAGCAGAGAAATGTTCACTTCACATGGACGTGTACGCCGCAGTTTGGGATTTCAAACAGGACTAAACAAGGTCTGATGCAGGACTATATCTGGACTAAACCAATATTAAACAAGCACTAAATCAAGACTAAACCAGGTTTAAACCAGGGCTGAAGCAGGACTAAACCAGGCCTCAATCAGTAATAAACAAAGGCCAGAGCAGGACTAAACCAGGTCTAAAACAGGGCTGAAGCAGGACTAAATCAGGTCTAAAACAGGGCTGAAGCAGGACTAAACCAGGTCTAAAACAGGGCTGAAGCAGGACTAAATCAGGTCTAAAACAGGGCTGAAGCAGGACTAAATCAGGTCTAAACCAATACTAAACAAAGGCTGAAGAAGGACTAAACCTGGTCTATAATTGGGCTGAAGCAGGACTAAACCAACTCTAAACCAAGACTAAACAAGCACTGAAGGAGGACTAAACCAGGTCTAAACAAGGGCTGAAGCAGGACTAAACCAGATCTAAAACAAGGCTGAAGCAGGACAAAACCAGATCTAAAATAGGGCTGAAGCAGACTAAACCAGATCTAAAATAGGGCTGAAGCGGGACTAAATCGTGTCCAAAATAGGGCAAAAACAGGATCAAACCAGGTCTAAAACAGGGCTGAAGCAGGACTAAATGAGGTCTAAACTAATACTAAACAAGGACTGAAGCAGGACTAAACCAGGTCTAAAACAGGGCTGAAGCAGGACTAAAAGAGGTCTAAACCAATACTAAACAAGGACTGAAGCAGGACTAAACCAGGTCCGAAATAGGGCTGAAGCAGGACTAAACCGGGTCTAAACTAGGAGTAAAAAACAAAACTAAACCAGAACTAAAGTACTAAACCAGGACTAAACGGGGGCTGAATCAGCATGAGTAAAGTAGGGCTAAACAAGGTCTACACCAGGACTAAAAACAGTGCTAAATGAGGACTAGAGTAGGACTAAACAAGGACTGAAGCAGGACTAAAAACCAAAAACTGCTTTGTGGAGCTTTTTATCAAAAACATGAACTACACTGGACTAAAAGTAGATCTAACCATCACTGAAGCAGGACTAAACCAGGTCTAAATCAGTAATAAACAAAGGCCAAAGCAGGACTAAACTAAGTCTAAAACAGGACTGAAGCAGGACTAAACCAGGTCTAAAACAGGGCTGAAGCAGGACTAAACCAGGTCTAAAACAATACTAAACAAAGGCTGAAGAAGGACTAAACCTGGTCTATAATTGGGCTGAAGCAGGACTAAACCAACTCTAAACCAAGACTAAACAAGCACTGAAGGAGGACTAAACCAGGTCTAAACAAGGGCTGAAGCAGGACTAAACCAGATCTAAAACAAGGCTGAAGTAGGACTAAACCAGATCTAAAACAAGGCTGAAGCAGGACAAAACCAGATCTAAAATAGGGCTGAAGCGGGACTAAATCGTGTCCAAAATGGGGCAAAAACAGGATCAAACCAGGTCTAAAACAGGGTTGAAGCAGGACTAAAAGAGGTCTAAACTAATACTAAACAAGGACTGAAGCAGGACTAAACCAGATCTAAAACAAGGCTGAAGCAGGACTAAAAGAGGTCTAAACCAATACTAAACAAGGACTGAAGCAGGACTAAACCAGGTCTAAAACAGGGCTGAAGCAGGACTAAATAAGGTCTAAACTAATACTAAACAAGGACTGAAGCAGGACTAAACCAGGTCTAAAACAGGGCTGAAGCAGGACTAAATGAGGTCTAAACCAATACTAAACAAGGACTGAAGCAGGACTAAACCAGGTCTAAAACAGGGCTGAAGCAGGACTAAACCGGGTCTAAACTAGGAGTAAAAAACAAAACTAAACCAGAACTAAAGTACTAAACCAGGACTAAACGGGGGCTGAATCAGCATGAGTAAAGTAGGGCTAAACAAGGTCTACACCAGGACTAAAAACAGTGCTAAATGAGGACTAGAGTAGGACTAAACAAGGACTGAAGCAGGACTAAAAACCAAAACTGCTTTGTGCAGCTTTTTATCAAAAACATGAACTACACTGGACTAAAAGTAGATCTAACCATCACTGAAGCAGGACTAAACCAGGACTAAACTGGGACTAAAGAGGTCTAAAGAGTGAGCAAAACCATTACAGGAGTCCACCTACCACACAGGCCAGGCAAAACCATTACAGGAGTCCACATACCACACAGGCCAGGCAAAACTAGAAGTCCACCTATCACAAAGCTCAGGCAAAACCATTACAGGAGTCCACCTACCACAGCCCAGGCAAAACCATTACAGGAGTCCACCTACCACAGCCCAGGCAAAACCATTACAGGAGTCCACCTACCACAGCCCAGGCAAAACCATTACAGGAGTCCACCTACCACAGCCCAGGCAAAACCATTACAGGAGTCCACATACCACACAGCCCAGGCAAAACCATTACAGGAGTCCACAAAGCTCAGGCAAAACCATTACAGGAGTCCACATACCACACAGCCCAGGCAAAACCATTTCAAGGGACCACCTATCACACAGCCCAGGCAAAACCATAACACGAGTCCACCTACCACCAGCCCAGGCTAAACCAGGAGTCCAGCCACCACAAAGCCCAGGCAAAACCATTCCACCCACTACATAGCGGAGGCAAAACCATTACAGGAATCCACATACTACACAGTCCAGGCAAACCCAGGAGTCTACCTATCACAAAGCCCAGGCAAAACCATTACAGGAGTGCACCCACCACGTGACCCTGCCTCTGTCCTTACAGCGGAGGGACGTCCACACACAAACATCCCGTGTGATGGAAACTGTGAGAGGCGAGCGCAGAGACAGATGAGCGCTCCAGGCACAGCACCGCGCGGGGAGAGGAAGCGTATGGGGCTCTACGGAGAAACACGCTGCGGTGATAAACACGAGCGGATACGGCCTCCTCGCAGTAAAACACGTGCACCACACGGACGGCCGAGTGAGGTCACACGGCGCCCCCTACTGAGCCGCACGTAATAATTATAATAATAATGCCTTAAACTTGTAATGAGCTTTACAGGATGTAGTCATTATTCAATCACTCCACACTCGGCGGTGGTAGGATATTATTGTAGTCGCAGGCGCCCTGGGGCAGACTGAAGGAAGTGAGGCTGCCAATCTGTGACCATCAGCCCCTCCCACCATCACAAACACTCACACCAACACTCACACACCACTTTCAGTTTATGTTTAGGATGAGACGACAGAACTTGGGCCAAGTGGGAATCGATCCTCCAACACTTTTCATTTTCTGTATCTTCAAAAATAAGACAGTGCCTAGTCCTTATTTTGTACAGAGTTTTGCATTTAGAATTAAATATGCTCCAATCAAGTCCACGAAAACTAACTAAACTTAAGTGGGAAACAGAAAACTTGTGTTAGGCCTGGTTAAGTCCTGGGTTTAATGCTGGTTTAGTCTGGGTTTTCTCTAAAATTTGTTCTGGTTTAGTCTTTGTTTAGTTCTGATTTGGTCCTTGTTTAATCTTTGTTTTGTCATTGTTTGGTTCTGGATTAGTTCTCGTTTGGTCCTGGTTTGGTCCCGGTTTGGTCATTGTTTGGTTCTTGTTTGGTCCTGGTTTAGACCTGGTTTGGTCTTTGTTTAGTCCTGATTCAGTCCTTACTTAGTCCTTGTTTAATTCTGGTTCAGTAATTGTTTAGTCTTTGTTTAGTCCTGTTTTGGTCCTTGTTTAGTCCTGGTTTAGACCTGGTTTGGTCTTGGTTTGGTCCTGGTTTGGTCCTGGTTTAGTCCTGGTTTAGTCCCTGTTTAGTCTTTGTTTGGTCCTGGTTTTGTCTTGGTTTTTGTCCTGGTTTAGTCCTTGTTTAGTCTTTGTTTGGTCCTGGTTTTGTCTTGGTTTAGTTCTTGTTTGCTCCTGGCTTGGCCCTTGTTTAGTCTTTGTTTAGTTCTGGTTTAGTCCTTGTTTAGTCTTTGTTTAGTCCTGTTCTAGTCCCATTTTAGTCCTGTTTTAGTCCTGGTTTAGACCTGGTTTAGTCTTAGTTTGGTCCTGGTTTAGTCCTGTTATAGTCCGTGTTTAGTCCTGGTTCAGTCCTTGTTGAGTCCTGGTTTAGTTCTTGTTTACTCCAGGCTTGGTCCTGGTTTAGTCCTGGTTTAGTCCTGGTTTAGTCCTGGTTCAGTCCTTGTTGAGTCCTGTTTAGTTCTTGTTTACTCCAGGCTTGGTCCTGGTTTAGTAGTCCTGGTTTAGTCTTTGTTTAGTCCTGGTTTAGTCCTGTGTACCCTTCGTACCTGAATTTGTCGTCGGCCTTGAGCACGTCCATGATGGTGCCTGCAGGGGGCGACAGCAGTTTGTCCACAGTGAACATGGAGCCGTAACGTCCCATTTTGTCATGTGCGGCGATGCAGGCGTTTTCGATGCACAGGTTCTACACGGGACACAGCAGAGGTATGGTTAATGTGATGCTAACTGTAGGCATGGCTCTGTCTGAAGCTCTGTTATGCAAGTTAGACTTTAATCTGAGATAAACCATGAAAAACTTGAAAATATGCTGTCCAGTTTGTATTTTTTCTTGTATTTTCAGACAATCCTGAAGGTCCTATAAAGCGCAAAGTTGACTTTTGTGAGTTTTAACCCATGTTATAATGTTGTTACCTCCTCAAAAACAAACCTGGAGTTGTCAAGATGTGTGTCCGCTCAGTTTAATTTCTCTCCATCAACTAGGTTAGGAATCGGAAAACACTACAGTTTGCAAAAACCCCGGAAGTGCAAGTTCGGGCACCAGTCAATCAGCGAAGAGACATACATTCTGTGTTGTCAACAATTCCTGAGATTGAGGATTTAAAGCCGGAATAAAGAGAATGTTTGGTGAATTTTATCAAGGGGAAAGACGTTATTGTCCTTCTTCCTACAGGATTTGGGAAAAGCTTAATATACCAGTTAGCCCCGTTAGCGGCGCATTACAAACATCACAACCACATAGCAGTGATTAGTTAAATGAAAAAAGTACCTGCCTACTGTTGAGAGAACGAATCCTAATGCTGCGAGGTCAGACGGTTTCTATGAAGTGAAACCGGCTGATGAATCAGGTTAGGTGGAATCCATGGCAAAGGAGAAATTCAATTTGTCAACTGGACAAAAGTTTATTTCGATCGAAAGCGTTTCTCAGCTCATTCAAGCTGCTTCTTCAGTTCTGGTCAGACACTGGTGGACACTTCCGTATATCTGCCTGCAGGGAGGAGATAACTTTACTGAAACTACCCTGAAACTAACACACACACTTGTTTACAGTTTCTGGCTACATCCACACGACAACGCTCCTGGATTTTTTTTTTTTGGGGGGGGGGGGGTTGAAAAAAATTTGCATCCACACATGTGTTGGATCAATAAATATTCACGTCCACACGACAACGGAGCACTAAGTGAAAACGATGTAATACCTATGCCACACCTGTATGTGGTGCTGTAAACAGGAAACAGCCAGAGCCACTGGACACACAACACTACAAAGAGCACATGCGCATAAAGTCTTTCCTTTTTTTTATTATTTTATTCAGTATGTTCAAATACACATAGTCACATTCATAAAGTCTTTCCGGTTTGCTTGTCCACACGACAATGCAACACCGGCGTTCTCAGATTTCCCCACTCTGAAACACGTTTTCAAAAACACCATTTTCACCCACACGAAACACCGGCTCCATGTGGACGAAAGACCAAACCGAATAAAAACTTCACAGTTTGTACTGAGTGTGGGGTCATATTAGCAGAATCATTCAGGCCCAAAATGAGGGTTTTCTACACCTCTGGTCCTGACCGGCTACTTCTATTGTTCTTTTTGTTTTAGGTTTTAAGATGGACTTGTAGATGTCTGAGGCCTCCATTTCTGTTCAAGGTTGGATTGTCTTTCCTAACAAAAACAGCCTCTTTAACTCTCCTCTCAAACTGATTCTTTTCTGTGGCTCAGATCTGTTCCCACTGTCCTTAAAAAAGTGGCCCGTGGCTTTTAGGTGGAGATGCACATTAGACTGAGGTCCACTGCTGCTCTCTCTTTGACCTAAATAAACATTTGTCCAGTTGGCGAATTGAATTTCTCCTTTACTTGGTGTTGTGTTTTGTTTCATTCACACATTTGAGTCATCTATGTTCTGTAAGCTCTGTCCGTGCACCTTGTGATGTCATGCAGTGGTAGTTTTCAAGCTCACAGCTCCTTTTACCATAAATTCAGCAGAGTTTGTGAATTCCGGGGCTGTAATGATCCAGCACAGTCGAGCACTTCCTGTATTACCACATGCCATCACCAGGTGGAACAGAGTGTTTCCTGTCTGAGAGAAAAACTAAAACCGCTGAACATTCCCCCATAGAGATACACGTTGAACACCCCACCGTGATGTCATCGCGAAGTATTAATAAAGGATTGTACTGTTTCCGTGGAGACGCCCTCTGTCTTCAATCCCTCTTTAATAAACGTGATAAATACCGGCCCACACACATCAAATGAAAAGTTTCCCAAGCAGAGGAAATACTCCCCCGCTCCAATAAGCCTCTGGTCCTCCACGGTCGGGTCTAGACTAAGTCCTGGTCTGAGCCTGGATCTCACCAGGACTTCAAGTGGTTTTGGGACGACTGAGGTCTGGAATGACTTAAGTACAGTGGAAAATGTGATCAAACTACAAACCGCAAGACCGCCTCTGAACCAGAACAAGAACTGATCTGGAACTGGGCCAGGACTAGACCCAAACTGGACCAAGAGTGAACCACTACAATTCTACACAAAGCGTCATCATAGAACGAGGACTGAAACAGGACTAAATCAGGACTACAGCAGGACTAAACCAGGACTAAACCAGGACTAATCAGGACAGGACTAAATCAGGACTGAACCAGGACTAAAACAGGACTAAATTAAGTTTAAACCTGGACTAAACCAGGACTAAATTAGGTCTAAACCAGGACTAAACCAGGACTAAATTAAGTTTAAACCTGGACTAAACCAGGACTAAATTAGGTCTAAACCAGGACTAAACCAGTACTGAATCAGGACTTAACCAGGACTGAATCAGGACTGAACCAGGACTAAATCAGACCTAAATCAGGACTGAACCAGGACTGAACCAGGACTACAACCAGGACTAAATCAGGACTGAACCAGGACTGAACCAGGACTACACCAGGACTAAATCAGGACTGAACCAGGACTAAAACAGGACTAAATTAAGTTTAAACCTGGACTAAACCAGGACTAAATAGGACTAAACCAGGACTAAACCAGGACTAAATAAACAGGACTAAACAGGACTAAACCAGACTAAAAGGACTAAACAGGACTAAACCAGGACTAAACAGGACTAAACCAGACTAAATTAGGTCTAAACCAGGACTAAAACTAGGACTAAATAAGGACTTTAAACCTGGACTAAACCAGGACTAAATTAGGTCTAAACCAGGACTAAACCAGTACTGAATCAGGACTTAACCAGGACTGAATCAGGACTGAACCAGGACTAAATCAGGACTTAACCAGGACTAAATCAGGACTGAACCAGGACTACACCAGGACTAAATCAGGACTAAATCGGGACTAAACAGGACTACACCAGGACTACACCAGGACTAAGTCAGGACTAAATCAGGACTGAACCAGGACTGAACAAGGACTAACCTAGGACTACACCAGGACAAAAAAAACAAAAAAACATAATTTAACATATTAAAGCAGTTGGTTTAAATCTAAATGTTGGATTCAGTCAGTGTTAGTGCAGCCTCTGCAGCCCAGGGAAGGAATTCTGGAGGTTCTGACCTTTCACAGTAAAACCGCCAGTGTTCAAAAGATCAGACTCTGCACTTCTAGTTTAGATACAAATCCAAACTGTGTTATTATTATTTGTGAAATTTGGCGCAAAACTTCAGATGCATGATATTTAAAGCATATAAGTCCACAGGAAGTAGAGTCACTATCACAAAACTTCACCTTGACCTGTGCGCTGTGTGGATGTAAACAAACAGAACTCGCCTTTTTAGGTTGTGTCATTATTTTTTGGAGGACAATTCTATGGATGAGCTCCTGCAGTTTAAATGTACAGCTTTACGAGAGGTGAGTAATAAAGTCACTTCATTATTTTTGCTATTTACTGAGTTTGTGTGTTTGTCTGTGTCCGTCACTCCTCTGACCCTGACGCTCTGTTTTATTGACTGTAGCGCTGTTGATGTTTAGTGGTTATGATCTGACAGAGCAGCTCAGAATCACACAAACACGAGGAGCAGCGGCTTCAAAATCGCACACGAAGACACAAAGTCAGATCACACCTCCCCAAAGTCACGCAGCCAAAATCGGGCAAATTCTCCTACAGTGTGTGACGGGCTTTTGGTTACATCCACACGACAACACTCCTGATTTTATTTTATTTTTTACGGGTTGAAAAAAATTTGCATCTACACGTCGGACCAATAAATATTCACGTCCAGATGACGCTGTGGCACTGTTAACAATGATAATAATATTTAATAATGCATGTCTCAGCACAGTTTTTTTAACTTTAAGGTCATTTTGCCAATTTTAGATGTATCCCAGAAATATCACCTTTTTGTTTTGCAAAAGTTAAAGCATAAGTTTTTGTGTTTAGCCACGAGATTTTATTAGAATAACTTGGTCTCCAATCCAACAGTTTAATTACTCGTGTGTAATCTTTGTCATTGATCCGAGTGGGTAATCTGCGGTGTGTGTCTCGGTTGCTAGGCGACAGGGGTTATACGTTGCCATTGCGACATACCGTCACTCCGACATTGACGTGTTATTGTCGTAGTAGTGGCATTTCCATTTTTTATCAAACGTCCCTACACTCCGACATTTTTTTTTTTCCCTTTTGTCGGAGTGTCGGCACTTAAAGGTTGTATGGAGGATTTTTTTTTGTTTCAAGTTGTCAATTGTTGTCAATGATAGATTATAGAGATGCAGTAGCCTTGTAATTATGATGACCAAAAAAAAGAGAATAAAAATTCATCAACTCTGGACGTGGTGGGGCTAAACATTTGCCAATAGATAACGACACTGCCTCGTTATCTGTGAGCTGACAGGCTGTCAATCAAACTCCCTACGTTTCTAGTAGCCGCCGCCGGTACGTGGTTTACGTACGTCTGTCACGCAGTCCACAGACGCAAGTCGCACAGACGCTGTTTACTCCACCAACGCAACAGTTCTTAGCGGCTTTTTTTGACCTATATCTTCCTCACAGTTCGCACAAAGTTTGTTGCAATGGTGACAAGAATCCAGGAGCAGTTAGCCACAAAAGAAAGTCCGTTTTTGAGGTCGCTGAAAGAAGAAGACAAGGGGAAAAGCAGCGAAGCCAAACTAAGGTGATTCTTGAAGATTCATTCCAGCGATGGCGCGACTGAAGCAGACGCAGGGTCTAAAGACTGACGCACTGGTCC